ATTATACCAAAAATAAATAAATAAATAAACAAACAAATAAAATTGAAAAAATAAATAAAAAAGTATCCCCATGTACCATTTTCCTTTTTGGGGGGGAGGGGGAAGTCATTGGGCCAAATATATTACATGCCCATTTCAAACTTGAAAATTGTGATTTTATGAGCCTTTGTTACCTTTGAGACAGGATGGCAGCAAAGAAAAGAAAATTGCCCCCATGATGGTATACCATTTTTCAAACTAGACAACTCCACATGCCGTATTTTGAGTTGTTTGGTTTACCCACTTTACACCCTGTTCCAAATTATTAGGCAAATTATATTTTTCTCATTTACCTAAATAATTGATGTAAATAACAGTCAGCATAATTCTCATGTTATCAACTATTAAGAGTAGAATTCAAATTTTATTGAACAAACATCCTAATGATAACAGTATTTTTTTTAAACATAAAAAACTTACACTGCACTGTTCCAAATTATTACGCACAGTAAGTTTCAAAACACTTTATTGGTTGTAAAGAACGGAAAATTGTCATTTGTTGTGTTTGCAGCATATTTACTGAAATCAAAAGCTATTTCAATCAAACTTATAACAACATTTTTTTTTTTTAAATTCTTTATTTTTGAGTGCAGAGTTAAGTACAGGCCTAACAGTGACTTGTTCAGTGTTACATATCACATGTTATATTTGGCACAGGTAGTCAAGAGGTACTGCACTTTTTTTTTTGTTATAACAAGATAGGAACAAAAGTAAAACAGGTTATAGATATCACAAGTAAATCCACACACAGAAACATAGATTATGTTTGAAATGTCCAGGAGACTTCAAAAGCCCTATGCTATGTGGGTAAACAAGAAGAGAAGGAGCAGGGTTATAGACCAGGGCTATGATAGGGAACACAATGTGAATAAAAATACCACTGGATAAGGTAAGTAGCCTCGGGTAGCCATGAAGTGAATACGGCAAAAATAGGGTCTAGTAGCTGAGCTAGGGTTGGGAGGGCGAGACTATTGTAAACCCCAGGGCTACCGTGCTCTCAGCCAACGCCAAGTGCTGGTAAGTCCCAACTGTCCTCTCCCTCTGCCCCTCCGGGTAGGGCCCTCTGACTGAGCCAGGTCACCATATATTCCAGAAGGATTGTGTCCAAGTTGGGAGCTGAGGTTCGGTGTTGCGTGCCCTATGATTGGGTAAGTCGATGCTTGGTGCAGGCTGGTGTTGTCGTGGGCACTGAAGCTTGGTTCGCGTTGGAGGAGACAAGTTGCGGTGAGCAGAAGGGTCAGAGTGGCGAGGGAATTGTGCCCTCCATGCTGGCAGCTTATGCCGTCGTTTCTGCAATGTCCCTTTGGGGAGATGCAAGGTTCGTGTGAGCGTGCGTCGATGGGTAGCTGGATGAGTTCGCAGCCTGGCCGGCTGGGTTGGAAGTGAGTCTCATGGCCTGAAGCTTTTTCCAGAATAGTTCACAGATGTGATCGAAGGCTAGGAGGAACTTGTTCACATCTGGTAGTGAGCATGGTGCGATGTCCGCTTCTGCTTGCCCCTGCAGGGTGGCCATTTTGGCTGCCAGATCTCGGTCAACCAGACCTCCCAGCAGCTTGAGGCCTCTGCTTGAGAGTGACCACTACAGTACACCAGTGGGGACTGGGATATCCCCCACCGGTCCAGGGGGGGGACAGGGCTCTGGATCAGCGGACTCAAAGTTGAGGCCTTGGATTGGCCGCCTCCCCAACCTAGACAAACTGCAGGCCGCAGGCTGTGTCTGCAGGATTCAGGCTTGAGAGGTATTGATGTGTAGCAGAGTGCTCCCCGGGTATGAGGACAGGTTTGCAGCCAGAAAAGGGAGCATTAAAACCCTGTGTAATGTGCGGTTAGTGATTTACCCTGAGGAGCAGCAGCTTGATGCGACTGATTCAGTTGGCGGACAGGCCCCGCGCCCCTCTTGTAACAACATTTTAACTTTTTAAACATTTTAACAGGTCACGTTACATTTTAACATAGGACCCCTTATTTGATAGCAGCTTCATAAGTCTTGCATCCATTGAACTTGTGAGTTTTTGGACAGTTTCTTGAATTTGTTTGCAAGATGTCAGAATAGCCTCCCAGAGCTGCTGTTTGGATGTAAACTGCCTCCCACCCTCATAGATCTTTTGCTTGAGGATGCTCCAAAGGTTCTCAATAGGATTGAGGTCAGGGGAGGATGTAGGCCACACCATGACTTTCTCTCTTTTTATCCCCATAGCAGCCATTGATGCAGAGGTATTCTTTGCAGCATGAGATGGTGCATTGTCATGCATGAAGATGATTTTATTACGGAAAGCATAGTTCTTCCTTTTGTACCAGGGAAGAAAGTGGTCAGTCAGAAACTCCACATACTTTGCAGAGGTCATCTTTACACCTTCCCTCTAAAGGGGCCGACCAGCTCTCTTCCCATGATTCTGGCCCAAAACATGACTCCACCACCACCTTGCTGACGTCGCAGCCTTGTTGGAACAGGGTGGCCGTCCACCAACCATCCATCTGGACCATCCAGGGTTGCACGGCACTTATCAGTGAACAGGACTGTTTGAAAATTAGTCTTCATGTATTTTTCTGCCCAATGCAACCGTTTCTGCTTGTGAGCATTGGTTAGTGGTGGCCAAATAGAAGGTTTATGCACAGTTGCAAGACTCTGGAGGACCTTGATGTCCGTGGGACTCCAGAGGCACCAGCAGCTTCAAATATCTGTTTGCTGCTATGTAATGGTATTTTAGCAGCTGCTCTCTTGATCCGATGCAAGGATCAGGCAGAAATCTTCCTCAATGTGCCTTTATCTGCACTAACCCGTCTGTGCTCTGAATCAGCCACAAATCTCTTAATAGTGCGATGATCATGCTTACGTTTTCGTGAAATATCTCATGTTTGCATACCTCGTCCAAGGCATTGAACTATTTACTCTTTTCGGCAGCAGAGAGATCCTTTTTCTTCCCCATATTGCATGAAAATTGTGCTCTGCTTAATAATGTGGAACACCTTAATTTAGTAGTTTTTCCTTAAATTGGGCTCACTTGGCAATCTAATTATCACAGGTGTCCGAGATTGTTTTCAGTGATCAAAAGAGCCCTGAAACACAATGTCATCCATGAGTTAAACTGAAAAACAAAATATTTAATCTTTGTGACACTTAAATAGAATTTGCATAATAATTTGGAACAGGGTGTATAATAGCTGAGCGTAATGTAAACAGGAACAGGCCATGGATCAGGGTATCCAGAAATCAGATTAGTCAGTATAACAGGCCAATAAGTCAGTGTAGGCAGCTGACAAAGAGTTCTCAGGATAAGCTGAGGTCAGGAATCAGGAATAACATAAATAATCACACAAAGATAGTTTTGAATAAATAGTTTAATTCTGGATGGTAAACATTCAGAAGGACATAGAACAGGTAGAGATGGACAGGAAAAGCAACTACTGTTTTGTAGCAGACTCATTTCTAGAGTGATTTTGTTTGGACATCTTTGGATTGAAGTGTTGATTGATTAGCTGGCTGACTAAATGAAATATTAGATAACAGCATTACAGTAAACTCATTCGATCTTCCGTCGGCCCACGGAGAGCCGGCCCTGCTCACTTGCTTTAGGCTCAAGGATCACCCTCACTGGGCCACATAGGCCCTTCGTTAGTGACATGGAGGGAGGGACCTGGGAGGCAGATAGTTCCTCCTGCGAGCATGCTGATCAGAGTGTTGCCATGGCAATGCTCTGACACAGCACTCACTTCGTAGGAGAAGTATAGGCAGCCTGCACCCACAGGAGCTGCAGGCTTAAGAGCACCACTCGCCACCGGACCACCAGGGCTAACAGTGTCCCCCTCTCCCTAGCCAAAGGTAAGAAGAAGGTGGGACCCATAAAGCTTTTATTAATGTTCTTTTTTTTTAAATTGTAATAAATATACATATGCTCCCTTATCAATTACACACACTTTGCACTCCTCACACACACTCTGCACCCCACATACTCTGCAACTCTCACACACACTATGCACCCCATATACACTGCAACATTACAAACACACACTGCACCCCTTACAAACACACACAACACCCCTTACACACCCAGCAACCCTACACACACACATACACTGCACCCCTCACTGAAGTCTGTGTGTGTATTCAGCAGTCTGTATGTGTATTCATCAGTATGTCTGTGTGTGTGCATCCAGTCCAGCAGTATGTCTGTCTATGTATTCAGTAGTCTGTCTGCGTATTCAGCAGTCTGTGTATGTGTATTCAGCAGTCTATGTTTGTGTACGGAGCAGACTGTGTGTGTGTACTCGGTAGACTTTGTGTGTGTGTGTGTGTTGTATGTATGTATTGCTTTTGCTGGAGGTACCAATAAGTATAAGCATATTTTTATCGATAATTTACATTTTTATTCCTGTTTGTTGTTGTGTAGGCAGTTGTTGTGAAGTGCACTGCTTTGCCATTGCTGATGATTTGCATTAACAAGGAAACAGCCGTCCATGAGTGGTTCACTGGCTTTGCATCTTTTCCTAAGTTGTGTTTCAAACCTGTTGTATATAGCAAACACAGACTCAAAGGAATCCATGTTCAAAATGGAATGAGGCAAAAATGTGATAGTAACATCACTGCAAATTTGTGATTTCTGTGGGAAAAGCAAGTCTTATGGCTTGACTGGTGTGCAGATTTTTGTTTAACATTGTATTAACTATACATATCTATATATATATATATATATATATACAGGTGATACTCGAAAAATTAGAATATCCTGCAAAAGTTAATTTATTTTAGTAATGCAACGTAAAAGGGGAAACGAATATATCAGTGTGGCAAAACTAGCCACTTAAGACTATAACTATAGGAATATGTGCCTATCCCTGTTTCAGCTGTGAGAACCAAGTATATTGCTGTATATTCCATTAACCCATTAAAAGCTTTCCCAGGTGGCCGTCGTTCGGCTACCGACAACGCTGCGGTCGGCCATCTTGGTTCCTTTGTTAGCCCAGCGGTCTTTTGCCGTCGAGCGCCTGGAACAAAAATCGGCTACTCGACGGCGCGAACACCGCTGGACTTCCAGGCCGTTCGGTAGTTTGTTCCCCTAATACCAATCAGTATTTTAACAGTGTTTTGGAAATAATGTGTATTTCGTGCGGCGTTCGGTTAGTTAGACTGGGAGCTGAGCGGTATTCTCACAAACTGTGCACTCAGACTCCAGCTATCTACCGAACATCCATTCGTTTAAATAAAGTGAATATAATGGAAGTTATGTATTTTAATGTAAAATGTAAGTTCTGCTGCACGGAGTGATAATCCACTTAACGGTATATTCCAGTGGGAGTATCCCTCTCGTATGGTGGTAGAAATGTATGTGTTGTTCAGTTCCCCATGTAGTCCCCTACTGTACCACCCCTGGAATGTCAGTAGGGAAACCCCTTGCATGGGGAATCCCATAAATACAGTGACCTGTGATTAAAAGCTCAGTTGACTCCCAGCCTATGTGTCGTCTAGTTCTTGGGAGGGAAGGATTCTTATAACGCTACCGGAATTATTGTATTCTGTATGCTAGCAGACGAACAGGAAAAGCCCCCAAGCGGCTTACACTCCTGGCAATCAGTCTCTAACAGCATACAGTAAATCCTCCCCCCAATAATGAGACAACACTTTGAGGGTTAGGCAGGAACTGATTTACTGGGGCTAACTGCCTGGCTTTTATGCAGGTCTCCCACCTGGTGGACACTCCCCTAGGGGACCAAATAGGAGACTGGGACACAAAGGGTAAAAGGACCAATCACAGACTTACACATTTCAACCATCCCACAATGCATCACAATCCCTCCTCTCTGCCCTGGAGATAATTGGGAAGTAATCCAATTATCTCCAAAGACAGAGGCAAAACTCCATTAACCACATGGCAGAAAACAAACAGTAAAAGACATAAAATGACCTACAGTTACATTCAGTACATAAAACATATACGTTCTACATATCCCCAGATAGCTCAGATCTGAGCGCACATTATTACCGAATGGCGCTCAGATCACATACATACAGTTCAATCGCCATGGAGCCAAAGTCCTTCACATAGTCTTTTCATTACATGAACAGGCTCCATGGCTTAGCTATCTGGGTAATGCTGTTCATCCAGTTAAACTACCGAATGAACAGTCATTCGGTTCCACTCTCGAATGGGAAGGGAAGGAGGCTGGCGGCTCAGCGGTGTTCGCGCAATTAAGTGTCCGTTTTCAGTTCCATAGTTTAGGCGCTGAACACCGCTGGCCGTTCGGGAGGTAAAATGGCCGCTGCCACGTGTTCGGCAACCGAACAAAGGCCTCCCAGCGTTCATCAATTAAGCTGCTGTTAACCGCAGCTTCTGGGCGGTCAATTGACGGCACACTCCAGTTCCCAGGTGGTCCATTGACTGGTGGAATCTACCGAACACCCTGGCAGAAAGGCATGAATAAACCTTTCAGCAGGGAAAATAACAGGTCTGAACTGCAGGGCCTTAGTCTAAAGGGAGCAGGCGAGCAACCTGGCTTCTCCAGTGTACAGTGGCGAGGTTGGTTTCGCCACATGCGCTGTATTCTAATTTTTCGAGTATCACCTGTATATATAACCACCCCCGACTACATAAAAAGAGCTCACGACCATTATGTACTATCCCATAACCATACAAAAACTAGCGGAAGGGGTCAGCCAGTAAAAATCCCTTATTACTCAACCAGCAATCAATGGTGCCCCCTCACAGTTCAGGATATATACATAACCTCTGTTCAAGGTTCCCCAGATCAACCTCTGCTAGCTCTACACGTTAATGCTCTGACAACAAGTAGTTTTATGCTTTATGTAAGGATGTTATTGGTAAGGTTAGGTCTTAATCCAGCTAATTACTCTGGTCACTCCTTTCGTATAGGAGCCGCTACCATGGCCTCCAGGAAAAATATACCTGTACATATCATTAAGACTTGGATGATGGATGATGGAAGTCCTCTGCGTACTTAAGAAATATACTCAACCAGTTCAGGAGATACATCAAGCTTTCCGTAACGTAAATATGTAATGTATCATAATATGTTAATTTTGTAGACCTAATAAATTTTTTATATGGTATTTTCCCTTTTGCTCTCTTTTATTACAGGCTTACCGCATTGTCGGTTCCAGCACACCACAACCGACTTTTGTCATATTTCTGTATGTCTAATATGAGGAAGTTACATAACTACTTCTAACATTACGGCTTTAATGCCCAAAACACAAATATATATATATGAAACCAGGGGGCTGCACTCACCTGAACATGCATATATGGGGTGCTGCTGGGGGCCAGTTTATACAATACACAAGATCCAGCGCACTCAAAGATGGGGTACATTGTTGTTGTGACAGTTATGCAATATAGGATCATATAATGTAACTAAACCCCCATTATTTTTGCCTAGATTGGGTGTTTTTAAAACTAATAAAATCTGTCAACATTGAAGTTGCTGTTTAGTGGATAGGTGAGTGTGCTGGATCTTATGTATTGTATATATATAATTCTGTCTGACAAACATTATTTTAACACTATCGGCTTGGAATCTTTACTGTATTGTTTTGCTGTCTGTATTATAGTTTTTCTGTGTTTAAAATTTACAGTTGTGTTTGGTTCAGGATTTTGCAGTTTTATTTTTACTATTTTCAGAATATGTCTGTAAATTTAACACAGTTTTATTGTTATTTTATACATTTTTGATTTCATGATTTTTCAGCATTTTACAGTTGAGTTCACAGACATTTTTATAGAAAACTGCAATCAGTACTAAAATGTTTTTTCTATTCTTTTTAAATAAACTAAAAAGTGGGGTACAAAAAGTTCAGGTTATGTCTGATAGAACGCTCTGAGAAACTATACAGTAATTAGAACACGGGAAAGGGTTAACAAAAACTAGAAAAGGTTAATTTAGGAAATTAAGTAACATAGTAACAAAAAATTAAAAAATCTGACCACAAAAATTTTTTTTAAGTAGTACTAGTGTACTGATCACTGTACTAACACTGTGATCAGCAGTGAAAGGTTTAAATCAAGCAATTTTCTATTTTATTTAACACTTTGGAACACAGCCAGAAATTATCTTTTCTGCTTCTCTTGCCTCAGATCAAAGTTAGGAAAGAGAGAGGCAGAAAACAATGTCACAGTCTATATTTGAATTCATTGGCTGTGACCAGGGCCGGACTGGGAAAAAAATTAGGCCCGGGCATTTTTCAATTAGAGCGGCCCCCCCAAGAAGGGGGCGGGGCCAGAGAGGGTGTGTTTTGTCATCACTAATGACAATCACGCCCCCTCTCAAAGTGAGCATGTTGGTTCAATGCGCAGGGCCCCGCTGAAGAGCTCTGGCATTAGAAAAAGGCCCTGAATTTGTTCTGCGCAGCGCAAGCAAATTTAATAACATGCTTGCGCTGTGTTTGCTTTTAAATTGTCTCTGGTGTCTCCACAAGTGGGATACCAGAGGACAAAAGGGCCAGGAAAGTGTATGGTGCATGTGTTTGGCGCCTGCTTGTGGGATTGCCTGTATGTAGAGTGTGGTGTGGTATTGTGTAAATAGGTGTAATATGTGTTGCTAGGGGCTGTAGAGAGTGCGTGTATAGGGGCATAGTGTTATAGGGGATGTAGCGAGTGTGTGCATACGGGCAGTAGTGTGTGTGTATAGGTGACGTAGTGTGTGTATGGGTTGTAGAGAGGGTGTGTTTAGAGAATGTTGTATGTCTTTCCTTACAAGGAATATAGTGTGTGTGTGTGTAAGAGATCTAGTGTGTAAAGGACCCAGAGTGTGTATAGAAGATTGTGTGTGTATGTGTGTAGAGGATTAAGAGTGCATATAGGGAAAGGGATCTAGCGTGTATCTGGAGCGTAATGTGTGTAGTGGTGCAGTGTGAGGGGTGCTGTAGTGTGTGTGTATATATATTAGAATATATTTGGACGTATTGTATGTGTGAGGTGCGCAGTGTGTTTGTGTAAGAGGGGTGCTGTGTGTGAGGGTGTTTTTATCTGCCGTCACATTCTAGGTTTCTAATTTTCTTTGTCTGTTAACTCACTGAGGGTTATTTTATATAATATAATATATATATATATATATATATATATGTGTGTGTGTGTCTCTGGGTGTGCTGTGTGTGTCTAGGGGTGCTGTGTGTGTATCTTGGGGTGCTGTGTGTGTATCTGGGGGTGCTGTGTGTGTCTGGGGTGCTGTGTGTGTCTTGGGGTGCTGTGTGTGTATCTGGGGTGCTGTGTGTGTGTATCTGGGGTTGCTGTGTGTGTGTCTGGGGGTGCTGTGTGTGTGTGTCTGGGGGTGCTGTGTGTGTGTGTCTGGGGGTGCTGTGTGTTTTTGGGGGTGCTGTGTGTGTTTGGGTGCTGTGTGTATCTGGGGTTGCTGTGTGTGTGTCTGGGGTGCAGTGTGTGTCTGGGGTGCTGTGTGTGTCTGGGGTGCTGTGTGTGTCTGGGGTGCTGTGTGTGTCTGGGGGTGCTGTGTGTCTGGGAGTTGCTGTGTGTGTATCTGGGGTTGCTGTGTGTGTCTGGGGAGTTGCTTTGTTTGTGTGTCTGGGGGTGCTGTGTGTGGGGGGCTGTGTGTGTATCTTGGGGTCTGTGTGTGTCTGGGGGTGCTGTGTGTGTATGTCTGGGGGTGCAGGTGTGTGTCCTGGGGGTGCTGTGTGTGTCTGGGGTGCTGTGTGTGTTTGGGGGTGCTGTGTGTATGTCTGGGGTGCTGTGTGTGTGTGTGTCTGGGGGTGCTGTGTGTGTCTGGGGCTGTGTGTGTCTGGGGGGGGCTGTGTGTGTCTGGGGGGCTGTTTGTGAGGGGGCTGTTATGGAATTTATTTTAAATATATATATATATATTTTTATGAATAATTTAAAAAAAGTTATGTTTACCCCTCCCCCTCCCTTCTTACCTTTATCTTGGGAGGGGGAGGGAGCCGTTCTGCCTGGGAGGGGAGCCTTGAAGGGACCATGCTGCCTTCCCTGGTGGTCCAGTGGTGAGAGTGAACTCTAACCTGCGGGTTAGAGTTCACTCTCGCGAGATCTGAGCGTTGCCACGGTAACCGCGGCAACGCTCAGAATCTCGCGAGAGGACCCGGCGGAGCTGCTGGTTAGAGCTCCGCCGGGTCCTCTCTCCTGCCTCCCTCCCTCCCAGCCGGTGGCCGCATCTCCCTGTCTGTGGGCTGGTGAGGGAGATCTGTGATCTCCCCACCAGCCCATGGAGACACACAGCAGGGCCGGCGCTCGGGTAGCGCTGGCCATGCACGGGCTGGCAGGGGAGATCCTGTGATCTCCCTGCCGGCCTCGGCCCCACGGCCATCGCGGCCCACCGGGCATTTGCCCGGTATGCCCGATGGCCAGTCCGGGCCTGATTACGTCAGTCTGTGTATATGTCAGTATGCCTGTGTGTGTGTGTCAGTGTGTATGTCAGTATGCCTGTGTGTGTGTGTCAATGTGTCTGTCAGTGTATGTGTCTGTGTGCTTTAGTATATCTGTCAGTGTATGTGTTTGTGTGTGTGTCAGTATATTTGTTAATGTATGTGTCTGTGTATGTATGTATGTATGTCTGTGTGTGTGTCAGTATGTCTGCCAGTATATATTTGTGTGTAGTGACTGTGTGTGTCAGTATGTATCTGTGAATGTTTTAATGTCTGTCTGTGTGTGTATGTGCCAGTACGTCTGTCAGTGTGATTGCGGGTTGGACGTAATTGGGGGGTGAGGCAGTGGCAGGGACAGGGCCCATGGGGCCCAAGAAAATGCATTGCCCAGGGTCCTAATCATATTATAGACGGCCCTGTTAGCAGCACCTGTCTGCTACTTAGCCTCTTAATTCCTATAGACACAGTAAGGGTGTACTTAGTTTTTCACACATTTCTCCATTTTGGTTTTATTTTAAAGGGACACTATAGTCACCCAAACCACTTCAGCTCAATTAAGTGGTCTGGGTGCCAGGTCCCTCAGGTTTTAACCCTGCAGATGTAGCTGTTGTAAATATTTGTATTTATTTTAATGTATTCATCTAATTTATTTTCAGACCTGCTAAAGAACAGATTGTTATTATGTCCTGATATGTAAAGCCATAGAATTCAAAGAGGGTGTACTTTCTATTTCCATGACTGTGTATAAATATATATATATATATATATATATATATATATATATATAAAAATGTCTGGCAATCATCCCAACGACAAACAAAGCTAATAGTAACCACCTGGGTGCTGAACAGTGCTGTATGTATCAAGGGTCAAAAAGGAGCACTCTCTATGTATTTTTTATTTAATATATTCATCAAACAAGCATCAACGTTTCGACCTTCCTGAGTCTTGATCATCTTGATATACATATGAACTTATCTTTCTAAATATAAGTTAATACTTATGTGAAAAAGATTCATAAGTTATAAAGAAGTGCTTAAGAAAACAGAGGGGGCAGAAAAAACATGTTTTGTTAGAGCTCTCTTCCAGACATGTTTTTATAAACTACATAAAATGATTAAACAGTATGCCAGCAAGCACACAAATAAATATAAATGTAGATATAAACTCACCTTTTCAGAGAGCTGCAGAGTTCTTCCCGCTTCCTCAAAATATTTTTTTTTTTTGTTTCTTTTGTCATACTGCAACCACCAGTTACTTTCACTTTCACTTTCACTTTCATGTCCTAACACAAGCATAGGCAACCTTCAGCACTGCTGATGCTTGTTTAGACTACATCTCCCATGATGCTTTGCCAGCATTATGTGTGTAAGAGCAGTATGGGGGATGTAGTCCACAACATCTGGAGTGCCGAAGGTTGCCTATCCCTGTCCTAACACATCCAGGAATGTAGTCAGTATAACCATATATAGATTAAAACAGGATTATGATAATCAGAACACACAGGGTGTGAACGCTACTCAGTAATTATATCATTATTTACTAAAGGGTTAATTATTAAAGTGAGAATCCAATGTGAATTTAAAGTGAATTTCACTTTAATTTTAGAGGTCCAAGTTACTAATAATGGTTTATGCAACTATAATGTAGTTTAGAACAAGAACATTGTATATTATTTACACAGACTGATTTCTAAACACATTTATTGTAGTTTAAAGACACATTACTGGGAGTATTATTGCCGTGGAGCTCTCTTACACACTCAAAACACACCAACAATATGGAGCTCCTAGAGAAGAGCAACATAGGGATTTGGGTAAACAAAATAGGGGCTGTCACTCCTAAATAGGGATAGTGGGAGGTATTGCATAATTGAATGCACTACTTGAAACAGTTTTTATTCCCATGCAGATTATTTTTACAGTGCACTGGGAAGTGAAACCCAGAGGAGAGCTGGTTATCAGAGGTATGGGATAATTTGTTACACATTTGCTAAGTAGACACTAGTGAGCTGACACCTTTCAGTTCAGAGTAAACTCGTCTATTGATGCTCTTGCGTTAAGATTGGAGCGGACAGTTCTCTGATGCCCTAACATTTGGGAAGCAGGGATCACACCTAGGACAGTGGATCAAGACACTGAAATTGGGATGGTCCTGTCATATCCGGTATTGTTGAGAGGTATGCCAAGGCAGTCTAGCAGTGCTTTCGGCCAACACTGTAGGTGTTATGGCATTGTCTGCTGTAGCCAAAACATTTTATTTTAGTTGAGCTCCTTAATGTTCAGATCACCACTGTCAGACTTAGATTGCGCTAAAGTGCAAAAAAAGGCAATGGGGTGACTTGCCCCACGTGTATATATAGATGTACAGGGGGATATGGGCAATAGATAAAAGACAAAAAAGTACAGATGTAGTGCAGATGGTAATAGTAAACAAATATTATGACTCAGCTTGGTCAGATCACTTACATTTGATGGAGCCTATATATATATTGGCTCTGTATAGATTGCTGATATGCTTTTATGGCAGCATCACACCATTCCTTTAATGGAATATAATGGAATATACCCTCCAAAAAAAGAAAGAGAATGTGTAGTATTACTAGTATAAAATGTATAAGGTATAGAGGTAGGTATTGAGCTCACCTTATTTAGAGCCCAAGTCCAGGTTCTCAAGGTATGTAGGAATAGTGCCACTATAAAGGGGATGGCACTTTCCCCAATGAAGGTTCCTAGGGCTGCAGAGAACTTTCAATGTATAAACTTATTGACAATAAAAAAGTAATAAAAACAGTTTAAAACAAAACAAAAATTATATATAACACTGTCCACGATTGTGTAAAAAGTCCTTGCAGACAAAACGTGTTTCGCTCTCCTGAGCTTTTTCAGCCAGCTACATGAATTTCTTCTTTTTTAATCTGTTATAAAAGTAAGAAAAGTCAAATAACTACTAATGCCAAAATACAGCATTATTGCCATGTTTTACTCCAGGCTGAGATTTTCCAATACCTCTCCTCTAAGGTTCAGATCGAGTACATAACACTCAGATCCGGCCTTAGCCGCCCTATGTGACGGTAGTCACCATCACTGGGGATGGAAGACAGACACTATGGGTGGGCTCCCAAATTCCTTTTGTGTCTTCTGTCACATTGTGCCTATTATTTGTGCAGGGTATGTTGAATGTATTGCTGGTCTGTGCATCTCCCCCTCCCCCCTTTTCCTGTCCTATTGTTTCCCCAGCAGGGCGTTGTCCCAGGGACACTGCCAGACCAGTTTAAACTAGCTGCTCTATCCCTCCTCAATCTCCCATCAGCCCCTGCTATTGTCTGACTCCACCCTTCCTGGTACTATAGTAATCCATGTAACCTATTGTATGTAAATTAGGCTGTTGGGGGCTTAAACTAAGTGTGCTGGATTAATTAAGGAGTTGATGTTTAACCTTCACCATGTGTTGTCTGGTGTTTGGTCCAGGGTGGAAAAGGCCCTAAGTGATCCCAGTAAAGCAACGGCGTCTGGGTCTGAAGTGTTTCAGGGTCCCTGAAAGCTACAAGGAAGCAGACTTGACGGAGGTACTCGGTTGGAGTACTGGAGCTCCGTTACACCCTCCATGGTCACACTCAGTCATCCATGTACAGTGTGTGTGTAGCGGACACACACTCACAGGTATACAGTCATACACACAGTTAAAGGCAGAAGATCACACACACAGGTGCAGGCACACAGATACACAGCTACAGGCAGACAGTCACATTCACACACACTGTCACAGGTAGACAGTCACACACACACAATTACAGGCACACACAGACAGTTACAGGCAGACAGTCACACACACACACACACACACACACCGTTACAGGCAGACAGTCACACACACACACAGGTACGGGCAGACAAACACACAGTTACAGGCACACAGTTACAGTTACACATACACACAGTCACCTCTTCAAATATATTGTCACTGGCTGGTGGTGGAGGGTTGGAGTGTACTGAAGTCCCTGAGGTCTATTTGTTGGGAAGCATTGACTCCTTCCTGCTTCCCTTCAGTGTGCAGCACCAACCAGGCAGTGGGTTCAAGGTGCATTTAGCTCTGCCCCGTTGCCCATTTAGCAGCACCAATATTATACTCAGCCACCTCCTCCCTTACATGTAGACCGCCTTTCAAACTCTGCTGGCCCCTGCGTGTGCGAGCTGTGTTTGCCATCCGGTGTCCCCTTGCCATCGTGTCCTGTACGGCTGCACAGTTTGCTCACCCCTAAGGCCAGTCTTGGTAACACTATTTAACTTCATGCCGCCGGAACCTTGCCATACTGTTAATCCATGCTAGTCTATCTTTTTCCCTTTTTCTCCCCCTCTCCAGCCCCTTGGCTGCTACTCTCTACCTTGGATTATGGATAAACCCACACTGAGTTGCATGTTTAATAGTACTGACCCATTGCTTGGAAACTGGTCTTTGAATTATGCTTAGCCCCTTCTTTGCTGATTGCTTTGATCATTCCGACCCTGGCTTGGTAAATAGACTTTGATTGCTGGTTAACCCTTTCTACGCTGCTTGCTTACATGGATCTGACTCTGGCTTGGATATTGGACTCTGACTCCCGAGTAACCCTCTCACAATCGATTTTGTAAATGGTTGTAATCCTGACTTGCACAGTGGACTTTTAGGCCCATTTAATACTCTTAGCTGTGACCTAAACACTGGATCCTGATTTCTGGATATCTACTTAGATTTTATTTCATTATTGGTTTTCTTTGGATGCTGCCCTATGAGTACTGGTATCCAGAACCCTCACATTGCTGTTTAATTGCTGGATTTAACTCTTCATTCCATATGGTGTGACATCCCATTTAATCCCAGTTGAATGTCTCTCGTATTCACCTTCAACTTCTAGATACCTACCTACCACCGTCAAAAAAGGTAACCACCCATTTTGCTGTATTCACATTTGAGGTTTTTTCTGTTATAACAGGTTTTCTATTGGCTATTTGGTGTCGTTTTAGAGAACATCCACTGTCGTGTTGTAACAATATGCACAACGCTACAATTATATTGAGAAACCTAAACAAGTTAAAGAGGCATCAAAACATGACCCTTACAGTAAACATGTTTATCTACAAAAGTTAAAATTGGTAGAAGAATAAAATTATATAAACATCAGAGAAATGCAGGGTTTTGCACTATTTGTTTAATGTGAGTCATTTCTTTATAAAGAGTCTTTAACTAAAATAGCCCATTTAATGCACTTTAGAAATTAAGAGAGTCTTCTACTCATGTGACATAAGCCTCAGGAGGTTCTAGCTAGGTAGCAAACAGAAGAAAGCATTGCAAATGAAGAGGGGTAACGGAAACATTGTTTCATTTCTCCTCTGTATGCTTTCTATATGCTGATTGCAGGTGCAAAGAACGGAGTTTATAAAAATATTTGACAGGTTGCCAAGATGGAGTCGCCCAATGGCAGGATAATCAGGTTTGAATTTCTCAATTTAATCCTATTTTTCACACCTCACAAATATATATTTGTTAACCATAGGGATAAGAAAAGATATTACAAGAAATACAGAGATATAATCGCTTTCCTTCAATCAGTTCTTACAGCTACTGCTAACCTTTGGCACTCATGCTGCTGAGGACTACATTACCCACGCTGTGACCAAATTGTATAGTTGGTTATGCATCATAGGAAATGTAGTCCAAGGCAGCAGGATTGTCTCTGTTTAGAGCAGGCTTCCTCAAACTCCGGCCCTCCAGATGTTGCTGAACTACAACTCCCATGATTCTATGAATGAAATAGATAGGCTGAGAATCATGGGGGTTGTAGTTCAGCAACATCTGGAGGGCCGGCGTTTGGAGAAGCCTGGTTTAGACTCTTAAACACCTAATGTTACAATGTTAGGGGCTGTTACCCCCAAAACATGACTATTTTTTTCTGCACTGCAAGCTAAACCCTTATTCTTTTCAGAACTACACATCCCAGAATGCACAGGGCTGATAATATCATGTGATCATCAGTGTCCACCAGTACGCTCACTAATTCAAAGTGAGGCTTCTTTGTTCCACTTGTATGTCTGTTGCCTCAGTCTGCAAGATCTCCTCCAGGTAGGAGCTCTTGTAATATCCCATGAATCCTTTGATTGTGTCATGTATCTGACATCTTGCACTCAAAGGGTTAAGCATAAGCAAAAAACATAATTTTAACTTGTTAATCAGCTCATCTCATGCACTGGGGTAAACACATTGGGCTTCATATGACGCACACTTCTTATGATATGTCGATGAACACAGGCACCCACTTATTAGAGAAATGTTAATGAGTTGTTAGATAGATTAGAACAATTAATTATATACATAAGCAGACAACCTAGAGCTGGCTCTCAAAGTCATCTATTTCCATTTATGGTTGTTAAATGTATCATACAAGTTATAAATATGTGCTTGAATATTTGGTGATATAATGTATAAATGTGTTGATTTTCCTTTGAGATTAATTGCAATCATACTTTTATTTTTTTTATTTTTTTTGTAGTTTTGTTTTCTGCCATAGTTAATTCATTGGTGAAACACGAATTTCCCATCATACACTCTTTGTCGAGCATAGTATTGCTTTGTATATACTTTGTATAACAAAGTATTGCTTCCTGACTGAACCCTTGGACTGTTGGCTGAAGGAGCTGGACAGAGTGGATAGGCACCGTCTTCAGAAGTTTGCAGTTAAACTGTTCGTAACGGTTTCATTCCTTAAGGTAAGACAGTGCCTGGGACCTTCTGGCACCATAACAACTTCATTGAGATGAAGATGCCATGTTGCACTGAATGGTCCTTTAAGTAACCCATCCAATACCGTATTCACAGTGATATGCATAGGCATTCCTAGGCACACTATTTTTGCAGGTAGTCTCTCTTCCCTACTTGTGCTTTTTTCTGTTTGGGTTAACTCTGGCTAAAGGCAAAAATCATGACAACTGTTTTAATTTTTACATAGTTACATAGTTACATAGCTGAAAAGAGACTTGCGTCCATCCAATTCAGCCTTCCTCACATTTGTTTTTTGCTGTTGATCCAAAAGAAGGCAAATAAAACCAGTTTGAAGCACAATTTTGCAACAAGCTAGGAAAAAATTCCTTCTTGACCCCAGAATGGCAGTCAGATTTATCCTTGGATCTAGCAGTTATTACCCTACATTGAAAGATTATATCCTTGAATATTCTGTTTTTGCAAGTATGCATCTAGTAGCTGTTTGAACATCTGTATTGACTCTGATAAAACCACTTCTTCAGGCACAGAATTCCACATCCTGATTGTTCTTACAGTAAAAAAAACCTTTCCTTTGCCTTAGACGAAATCTACTTTCTTCCAGTCTAAACGCATGGCCTCGTGTCCTATGTAAAGTCCGGTTTGTGAATAAATTTCCACATAATGGTTTGTATTGGCCCCGAATATATTTGTATAATGTTATCATATCCCCTCTCAGGCGACGTTTTTCTAAACTAAATAGGTTTAAATTTGTTAACCTTTCTTCATAGCTGATATGTTCCATTCCTTTTATTAATTTTGTAGCCCGCCTCTGCACTTTTTCTAGTGCCATAATATCCTTCTTTAGAACAGGTGCCCAAAATTGCACAGCATATTCAATATGTGGTCTTACCAGTGATTTATAAAGAGGCAAAATGATATTCTCGTCCCGAGAATGAATGCCCTTTTTCATGCATGACAATACCTTACTGGCCTTGGCCACTGCTGATTGACATTGCACATTGTTGCATAGTTTGTTGTCTATAACAATTCCCAAGTCCTTTTCGTGTGTTGTTATCCCTAATTCGCTTCCATTAAGGGTATACTTTGCTTGTGTATTCTTTACGCCGAAGTGCATAACTTTGCATTTTTCAACATTAAATTTCATCTGCCATTTGAGTGCCCAGTCCCCCAGTCTATCTAAATCCCTCTGCAGCAAAGTAATATCTTGCTCACATTGTATTATTTTACAAAGTTTTGTGTCATCTGCAAACACTGAAACATGACTTTCAATGCTGTCTTCAAGATCATTTATAAACATGTTAAATAGAAGGGGTCCCAGAACAGACCCCTGAGGGACACCACTTGCCACCTCTGTCCAGCTTGAAAATTTACCATTAATGACAACTCTTTGTACTCTGTTTTTAAGCCAATGTTCTACCCAAGAACAAGCATTTTCATCTAGACCGATTTCCTTGAGTTTGAACACTAATCTATTGTGTGGAACTGTATCAAATGCCTTGGCAAAATCCAAATAGATCACATCCACGGCAACACCCTGATCTATACTTCTACTTACTTCTTCGTAGAACGCAATCAAGTTAGTTTGACATGACCTGTGCTTCATAAAACCGTGTTGATTTTTGCTGATAACCATGTTCTTCTCAAGGAATTCTTGAATATTATCCCTTAATAACCTTTCAAATATTTTACCAGCCACAGACGTTAAGCTCACAGGTCTATAATTTCCAGGCAAGGATTTTGAACCCTTTTTGAATTTCTATATCTCGTGTTGCATAGAGCGAGAATGTGGTGTTATTATGCTTTATATTATAGTTTTTTCTAGGTAATTTAAGTGATTATTTATCAATTCATTTTCAGATTGACAAATAAAAAAGTATGAACTATTCAAGGGAATCTATAGTCCCAAAAATAACAATAATATTTTGGGGGGACTATCGATTCCTTTCTAGCAGTGTGATCACTGTCCACCCCCTTTTCTCTGTAAAATTAATATGAAATTAAATTTACTCACCTTTTTTCCAGCGCCAAGATTCCTTTGTAGCAGCCCCTCTCTCAACCTCCAAAAACGCCAACATTCCTGCTAACGTCTTTCGGGATCTTGTCCAATTCAATGCTTCTCATAGACAAACACTGGAGACAATAACATATGTGCAGCAAAACTTGGTTCTGGAGAAGGAAGCGTCCCAAAACAATGTTTTACATTGCAGGGTAAATATGATAGGACCTTTTGAGATGAGGTGGTCTGGGTGACTTTAGAGGTGTTTTTAGTATTTTTTTACACAAATGTATACTTTTTCTGGGGTGCCTGCCTATATGTGTGGAACTGTGGAAGGAATGCTCACATGTTCTTTCTCTACAGATGCCTGAACTCATATGACGTCCCTGCAGCATCACGGGATGATAACGTTCTCTAGACACTGAAGTTCTGATGATGTAAGTATGTTTTTGTTTTTACTTCTACTATGGTACCCACTCCAGTTAGCAATTCAATAGTGTTTGCTGAGATAAAGGATGATGACCTGTCACTTTTAAGAAGTAGAAAAGAAAAGAGAAGTGACAGTTCCACTTTCATCTCTAAGATATATATTTAGCTAGATATTTAGGAAAGCTGTGCTTGGAGTTGTGGGAGGGGCATATGGACCTTTAAAAGGGACTCCCCCCTTCCCCACCTTACCGTAATTGGTCTGACGAGCTGCTGCCTCACCCTCCACTCCCTTTATGCACCATACTCTTCTAGTGTAGGCTCACTGTGACAAAATGACTTTTGGCACTGGATTTTTTTATGACCAACTGCCCTTTCCCCCTTGTTGTTGGAGGAGCCTGATTGCCATGGCCCTGGGGTGTATTGCCATTTAAAAAGACTATTTGGGGCTTATTGGCTTCTAAAAGACTGTTTCTGCCCATTTGAATCCATGGGAAGATGTCTCTTCCCCACCCCCGTTTCCTGTCGATTGTTCCAGCAGGGCATTGTCCCAGGCACACTGCCAGACCAGTTGGAACTTGCTGTTTTGACCCTCCTCGGTTTCTCATCAGCTCTTGCTATGTTTTAACCCCATGGAGATTTGACTGTATTTGTGTTATCTGAGCCCTGTTCGGATATAGTGAGCGCTCAGATCCAAGCTATCTGGGGATAGGTTGAATGTGGGGGTTCTGTTAAGTATAATAGGAATTATGTATTTTTAGGTGTTTTTACTGTTGTTGTGAATAGAGCTATTTTCTGTATGCTGGAGGTAATTGGCTTACCACACCCAAGCCATGCTTGCAGACGGTCACAAGGGGACTACCAACTAACTTTTGACACACTGGACCAATTTGTATGATTTTGACGTATGTTTGTATTTGGAGTATGCTGATTCTGAAACTGTAATGTGAGTGTGATGTATACTTTTAGAGTTATGAATATTGTGTAAAACTGTATATTTTCCTGCAGAGGGGAGGATTTTGTGTGGGAGTGTCTGAGTGTATTGTACGTATTGATTGTTTGTTCTGCAAAACCCTGTGGGCAGTACTATGTTAGTAAAATGTGAATAAAAGAGGCTTTATGTGCCAGTACAGTCAGTTCTACTTCACCCTCAATTTGGAGTGCCGTCTCTTATTGGGGGAATCTGCTACAAGGGATTGCTATGCTCTGCATATTCCCTTGCTATAATCACTCCTAAGTTCTTGTAAGAGTTTGTTCCTGCCTTGCTCTCTGGAGGAGTCTACGGTGGTTATGGTGTCGGCTGGAGTCCTCAGGAAGCGCTAGGAGCATCCTTCAATGGAGGTACCCAGTCGGGGTGCCAGGTGATCCGTTACACTCACTTTATTCACTGGCCTACAGCATATGTCGGTTTTGGCACACCTCAACCGACTTTTCCTATCACAGGTTTTACTAACAACAATCTTACTTCAATCATGATCGATGTTGCCCCGAACACAAATATAGGTTGCGGTGCCAAATAATGTGTGATGAGACCAAACATGATAAGGCTACTCATAATTTGAAGCAGATAAAAAAATAAAAAAATACTGGAGTGCTTCACCTGCATATCTCCAGTTTAACTTTAGGAAGTCCACCACTTGGGCACAGAAATTCAGAGTGTAATATAATATATATATACACCAAGAAAATAATGGTGGGGAAAAAAAGGGATTCAAAATCCCTTCCACCTAAAGTAAGTAGATAGTCAATACATTCTTAAATACAGATCTGCAACAACACTTGCTTTTTCCACAGAAATCTCAAATTTGCACTATGAGTAAGGAAGTCTCACACCATACCTCCTAACTTTGGAGTACTGGAAAGTGGTACTCCAGACTCTGATAACTAGGGCCGCTGACTTCAATTCATGGTCCATCGAGGCTTCCCTTATTTCCGTCAGAATTGTCAGTAAAAGGCTTCCGGCTGTCTCACAACACCAGGTGCATGCACACAGACTCTATTTTGCCAGACTTAGGAAAAAAAACTAAGTCATGTTTGCATGAACATACTGCTATTCCAAGTAGAGTGTTGAGCGTTCCATTTGCACTGCCACGCTGTTTGGTTCATGTGGAGCATTTGTTTACATTCACATGAATGCTCTGCATTACACATTAGCTTGCAGTAGCATGAATGCTCTATGGGCATATCGAGCATTCGGTATCATTCAATCTCCCCTCTCATAAAATTGTAAAGCGCTACGGAATCTGTTGGCGCTATATAAATGGGAAATAATAATGATAATTCGCACTAACACATTGTTAGTTCATGTAATATATTTGCTTGCATGTTTTTTCGAAATTCATACAACTTCTATACACAATAATTCATTTGTAGGTTATTTTGACACTCGTTCGGCCAAGCCATTAAGCAACACTACACTGTCATTTGCTAGGTAGAATGTAATACTATTTGCATTATATTGTATACACACAGTTAGAAATGTACTCGGTTTTATTATCATGGGTGCCCTCTAGTGGTTTTAATGATTATTACAACTTAGGTAACTTTTAAATTGTTTTACATTACTTTAATTATATTCTCTCATATTCAATATATAGATATGCTATTATGATTGGTTTTGATTGTACTATGTGCATTACCAGGGTTTTGGGATATTATTAATACTACTCAATGAGGAGCACAACCGTAAAAATTAAATGACACTTTATTAAATAGGTCCACAAAAAGCAGGTATCTCAAAATGCATATCAGATCATCAAAGCATAAATCACATGATAATAATACAAAGAAATGCACAAAATTCTGCAATTACATCCAAGCAGGAATGATAACAAACAGGTTCATAAGAAACAGAATAACTACTAGGACATAAAGAGACCAGGACATAACAACCCAACATATAACACATACAAAACAAACCAATTCATATCAGAAATAGTGAAAAGAGGGGAAAACTAAACCAGCAAGCCCCCAACGTTTCGGCAGAAAAATGCCTTTATCAAGGGAGCGTGTTGCAAAAGGGTAAAACACAAAAAATAAATATATGAATAGTATTCTCTCTCTTTTCACCTTTATTTTATAGGCCTACTGGTAAGTCGGTTTCGGCACACCACAACCGACTTTCATATACCCCTGTGTTACGTTAAGCATGTTTTAATAATTACTCTTTTTTCTACGATACAGCCTTAGTGCACCGAACACGAATGTGAAGGCATAGCCTGGAGTCGTGGGAGGGGCTTGTTACCCTTTTTGAAGGGACTCCCCCTCATTCCCCATAACCGTTAGTCAACAATTTACATTCCCCTCCCTCCCTCTTCTTCCGATACACCTTTATTTTCAATACACCTTTATAGGTGGGCCCTCTTTATTTTACAGGCCTACCTGTAAGTCGGTTTTGGCACACGACAACCGACTTTTATGTACTCCTGTGCTATGTTAATCATGTTTTAATTACTCCCTTCTATGATACAGCCTTAGTGCCCACACACATATATATAACTAGGTGACAAAAATAAATATATATTATTTGTGGTGTGAGCAAATACAATAAAACTCCCAAAACACAGATAGAAAAATTACCATTGTGCGTCACCTACAGGTCTCAAATCGAATTTTGAGAAGTCTTGCTCGTGGGCAGAGAATTTCTGAGGAATAATGTTTTCACAACAATACCAGAATTCCTAGCTTAACTTCACCCTGTATTTCTGTATTTTTCTTCAAAAAGATATTCCGACAAAATCACAGTTGCTTGTTACTTAAATGTATCTTCCAGGTTCAATGTGGACACTTCTGCCATCCTCTGACAGACGCTGTTGCGTTCTCTTAACCAGTAACATGCGTCATTGTTCCAGGTTAGTGTTGATCCTCACCCTTTTCAAAAAGACACAATAGTCATTTATTAACCATACTTTTGTTAAAGAATTAAATGGATAATATATGCATACATTTTAATGATTTTGACTAGAATTTTTTCTATTTTTCAAAAAGACATTAAAACATATAACATCATACTTAGTTTCTGATTATCAATCAGTTTTACATCCAGTGGTATATACGTTTACTACAAATACATATACACACACAATGAACAAGTCAATATTGTCCCATGAACGAAAGGTGAAGGTGGGTCTCTTTTTTTGCATCCCTATAAAAAAATAAAAAAATAGTTGTAGCAGATGGCACCAGGCGACCCTACAAGAAATACTGTATAAAGCTGCATACGTGTATCTGCTGTAATTTCTGTGTATTTAAAAAGAATTGTATTCCTCTGATTGTTCGGTAGTTTCATTCCCTTAGTTTATTCGAATGAAACTACCGAACAACCAGACCTCCCTGTGTGAAGTGTGTCCTCAATTACCCGTTGCAACATTGTTGCGAACGGGTAATTGAACAGTAAGTAGCCGTCCTTTGTTCTCGGGGGTGGCCGCCATTCGACAAACGAACACGTGGCGGCGGCCATTTTAAAACTCCCGAACAGCGGTGTTTTGCCGTCGAGTGCCTGGAACTAAAATCGGACACTCGAGTAGGCGAACACCGCTGAGACCTCCACAGCCCTGGTCCGTTCGGTTCCAAACTACCGAACGGCCCCTCGTTCGGTAAATAGAAAATACCGAACGAGGGGATTCAGGCGAACCCTCCCTAGCCTCTATAGCTAGAGGCTTTCGTGTATTTTATTCCCTTATGCCAGGACCGACCGCAAGGCCCATTCACATGGAACCGAATTCGGCTATCTCTGTTCGTGCGGTCGGTCATTTTATTCCCTCCATACGTTTCCCGAACCCCTGGTCCGATCTGGGTGATTTTTGGATATGTTGTTCACCCAGATCAGGGCTATCAGGGGGTGTAGGATTTAAAGGGGTACCCCTACGTTTAGGGGTACATCCAGAAACGGGGGGAATTGGTGTGCTGGATAAGGGGATTATGATGCTGGCTGAGGGGAGGGGATGTGTGGGAGGTTACCAGGACAGGATTGGCTACTGTAATAATTACTGTAATCCCTCCCTTGCATGGGAGCATGCTTTATAAGGAGACTGCGATTAAAGGCTTGTCAGTTATGCTCCTGAAACTGTGTGTCGTCCAGTTATTGGGATTGCTGTTGGGATATTGCTGTATTTTACCTGCTGGAAACCCTGCCTTTGGATTTACTATTTACTTGTTCCTGAGTCTCACTTGGATTATAAGCGGAGATAACCTGGGTAATATTGCATCTCCGCTACATTGGTTGGCAGCGCTGGGATCCAGACTCACAGAGGAACAAGCCTAAATGGAGTACGGATGGAGATTGATTTTGCCACACTAAAACGCTCCACGCTAAAAGACCTTCTGGAGGCAAGGGGTATCCAAGCCAGCAATAAGACAAAAGCGGCACTTATCACTGAACTGATGGCGGAGTACCGAATGGAAGGCGATTCGGTTCCCGAACAGGGGAATTCGGGAGAAACACCGGAACAAAGGGAGTTCCAGAGGCAGGTACAATTTCGGCTGTCTTTCTATGGGGAACACCCTCCAACAGAGATTATTTCCAAAACGATAACGGAGGTCCAGGAATTTATACTGAGGAGTCAAACAGCGGCCCCAGAACGCAGCTCTGCAGTAAATATGCCACAAGAAGGTAAGCCGAAAATACCATACCAGGCTTTTAAAACATATGTGGAGGCAGAGGAAGATATAGACGCTTTCCTGCAAGATTTCGAGAGACTGTGTGCACTGCATAGAATCAGCGCAGAGGACTGGGTACCTATTTTGGCAGGGAGGTTAACTGGGAGGGCAGCTGAGGCATACCGGACTGTACCAAATGATGAAATACGGAATTACCACAAAGTGAAAGAAATTATATTGGCCAGGTATGCTATAACACCAGAAGCATACCGGCGGAGATTCAGGGATTTAAAGAAGGTGGAGAAAGACTCACATGCTGAGTGGGCATGCAGACTACAACGAGCAGTCTTGGGGTGGGTGCAAGCGAGCAAGGCACGGTCTATGGAGGATGTATTGCAAATGGTACTGCTGGAGCAATTTTATGAAGGAGTAACCAGCGAGGTACAGGAGTGGGTAAGAGACAGAAACCCTACCTCCCTTACCGAAGCAGCCAGGAAGGCAGACGAGTACCTGGATGCACGCAGGCAGCAAAAACCTGCAGCTCCAAAAGTACCTTTTAAAACCTTTGGGGGAACCAACTACACGCCAGCTCTACCAAGGTCACTACCACCACCACCACCACCCGCTGCACAGCCACGTTTCCGCCAGCCCACGTCGGGCCCTTGGCACCACTGCCAGAAGTGGGGACATTATAAAAGGGAATGCCCCCAGTTGCGGGACCGTTCCACCTGGATCCGACCCGGTCCACCACCACCACCGAGAGCCGCCACAGCCCATCACTACCAGGACATCGTGGCCACACCGTATGGTTCAGCAGTTCCCATCACAACCGTAGAACAGTGGGAGGTACTGCACGAGGCAGATCCAGTCCAGGCTAACGCAGACAACCGCCAGCACCACAGGCAGACCGTGTATCTGGAGGGTAAAGCGGTTCAGGGGCTACGTGACTCAGGAGCCACCATCACCCTGGTAAAAAGTCACCTGGTCTCAGACCAAGCTAAACTTAGTAAGACTGTGGCCGTCAGGGTAGCCGGGGGAGCAGTATACCGGCTACCCACAGCAAGGGTACATTTGCATTGGGGAGCGGGGGCAGGGCATGTGGAGGTGGGGTTGATGCCGCAGTTACCGGCGGAGGTTTTATTGGGGAACGATCTGGGGAGGCTCACATCTGCTTTTGAGCCCCAGACACCCACCACAGGAGAAGCTCACCCTGTGGTCACTCGACAACAGGCCCACACCCAGGACTACAACACACTCCCGGAGGTCCAGGTAAGAGATCCTTCCCCTTTCCCTGACTGTGTTCCCTGGGCCCCTCCTAACGAATTTGCAGCTGAGGTAGTGACTGACCCCACCTTGCAGGTGTATAGGGACAAGGTGACAGCAGACACGCCTGGGGGGGAGGGCGAAAGGTTTATTTGGGACAACCAGCTGTTATATCGGGAGACGGATAAGCAGGTATCCGGGTCAGACCCGATTGTGATGAGGTAGTTAGTGGTACCTCAGCGGTACCGGGCGGAGTTACTGCGGATAGCCCATGACATTCCGCTATCTGGACATTTAGGGGTCAGCAGGACCCGATACAGGTTAACCCAAAGTTTCTTTTGGCCGGGAATTAGCCAGGAGGTGCGCAGGTATTGCAACACGTGCGATACCTGTCAAAGGGTGGGGAAAAGGGGGGACCGGCGCAAGGCCAAGTTACATCCCTCCCCATAATCGAGGAACCCTTTAGCAGGGTAGCAGTTGACCTAATAGGACCCCTCAACAAAGCAAGCCCGTCAGGTAAAAGATTTATCCTGACCGTAGTAGATTATGCCACTAGATATCCAGAGGCGGTGGGCCTGACGAATATACAGGCTGAGACAGTAGCGGAAGCCCTGATGAAGATATTCTCCCGGGTGGGACTCCCCAGGGAGATTGTCTCCGATCAGGCACCCAGTTCACCGCCGAAGTCACGCAGCGCCTCTGGAAGTTTTGTGACATTAAGCCGGTCATTAGTTCCCCCTACCACCCCCAGACGAATGGGCTCTGCGAACATTTCAACGGTACATTGAAACAAATGCTCCGAACCTTCGCAGAGACCCACAAGGACTGGGAGAAGTTCCTGCCACACCTCCTCTTTGCTTACCGGGAGGTGCCGCAGGAATCCACTGGGTTCTCCCCGTTTGAACTACTGTTTGGCCGCAGGGTACGAGGGCCTTTAGATTTGATCAGAGAGTATTGGGAGGGAGAACGGAGCACTGACGGTACCCCCATCATACCCTATGTGTTGGCATTCCGAGACCGCCTTGAGGCCTTAACTCAGACGGTACGCGAGAATTTGCAGGCGGCTCAGACACGCCAACGCACATGGTATGATCGGGGCGCCAGGGACCGTAGCTTTCTGGTCGGGCAGAAGGTGTTAATCTTAAAACCGGTCCGACACGATAAGCTGCAGGCCGCCTGGCAGGGCCCTTATAAGGTGGTGGAACAACGGTGTGACACCACTTATATAATCGGCTCGTGCGTTGGTACTGGGGGGCGATGCATGCTCCATGTGAACATGATGAAGCCCTACCAGGAGCGCTCGGAGGAAGTGACCGCTATATGTGCGCCTAACTCCAAGGAGTTTGACAGTTTACCTCTCCCGGATCTGCTGGGAGAGGGTCAGTTATCCGGGGACTTAGGGGAGGTCACCCTGGGGGATCGGTTGAGCCCACAGGAGCGGAGCGAGGTACAACAGCTGTTGAGGGAGAAGCAGGATATCTTCTCTAATGTACCTGGTTACACTCCACTGGCCACTCACCGAGTAGACACCCCAGGGCAACTTCCCATGCGTCAGACCCCGTACCGCATCCCAGAAGCGGTACGGGCGAACATGCGCAAGGAGATAGATGAGATGCTCCAGCTGGGGGTGATTGAGCCCTCGGACAGCCCCTGGGCATCTCCGGTAGTCCTAGTACCAAAGCGGGATGGCACGACCCAGTTTTGTGTAGACTACCGGAGATTAAATGAGAAGACGGTATCGGACGCCTATCCTATGCCCAGGATAGACGAACTCCTGGATCGGATGGCAAGGGGGCACTATCTTACCACAATTGACTTGTGTAAAGGGTATTGGCAAATACCCTTGGCACAAGACGCCATCCCTAAGTCGGCCTTTGTCACCCCATTCGGCTTGTACCAATTTAAGGTCATGCCGCTTGGGATGAAAAACGCCCCGGCTACTTTTCAGCGGATGGTGGACCGCCTCCTAGATGGGTTCCAGGATTATACCTGCGCATACCTCGACGATATTGCCATCTTCAGCAATACCTGGCAGGAACACCTGACCCATATAGGAGCGGTCCTAGATAGGATTAGGGCCGCTGGTTTAACGCTGAAACCAGCCAAATGCAGCATAGGAATGGCTGAAGTACAGTACCTAGGTCATCGGGTAGGATGCGGCAAGCAAAAGCCGGAACCAGCCAAAGTAGAGGCTGTAGCTCAATGGCCCACCCCTAGGACTAAGACCCAGGTGTTAGCGCTCTTAGGAACGGCCGGATACTACCGGAAATTTGTCCCGAATTACAGTGCCCTGGCCAAACCTCTCACCGACTTGACCCGTAAAAACCTACCCCGCCAAGTAACCTGGACCCCGGAGTGTGAACAGGCATTTCAGTTGTTAAAAGATGCATTGACAAATGCCCCTGTCTTGGCAGCTCCCAATCCAACCAAACGTTTTCTTGTCCACACAGACGCTTCTATGTTTGGATTGGGAGCAGTATTAAGCCAAGTCGGGGCCGATGGCGGAGAACATCCCGTGGCTTACATCAGCCGGAAACTGTTACCTCGAGAAGTAAGCTACGCCGCCATCGAGAAAGAATGCCTGGCTGTGGTGTGGGCCCTGAAGAAATTACAGCCATATTTGTACGGCCAAGCTTTTTCCCTGCTCACAGATCACAACCCGTTAGTATGGCTAAACTGGGTGGCTGGGGACAATGCCCGGCTGCTGCGCTGGAGTCTGGCGCTGCAGCCCTTTGACTTTAATATCCAGTACCGCCCGGGTAAACAGAATGGAAATGCTGATGGGTTGTCTCGACAAACTGACCTAGAGAAATGATCCGTGGGCCTCCCCGGACATCCCCAAGCCGATCCGTGTTGGATCAGACTGTGTATGCCGGCTTGTGGGCAAGGGGGAGTAGTGTAGCAGATGGCACCAGGCGACCCTACAAGAAATACTGTATAAAGCTGCATACGTGTATCTGCTGTAATTTCTGTGTATTTAAAAAGAATTGTATTCCTCTGATTGTTCGGTAGTTTCATTCCCTTAGTTTATTCGAATGAAAATACCGAACAACCAGACCTCCCCTGTGTGAAGTGTGTCCTCAATTACCCGTTGCAACATTGTTGCGAACGGGTAATTGAATAGTAAGTAGCCGCCCTTTGTTCTCGGGGGTGGCCACCATTCGACAACGGGTCACGCGTATGCCATTTTAGGCCCTAACAGCGGTGGGTTTTGCCACGGCGCCCGGAATCCAAAATCGACACTCGAAAGTAGGGCGTAACACCGCCGAGACCTCCATTGCCCGGGTCCGCTCGGTGCCCCAAAACCTAACGCTCCTCTGCTCGTAAATAGAAAAATACCGAATCTAGGATCTTGCGGGCTTTTAATTCTCCTAGCCCCTAAGTAGCTAGTAGGCTGCAGTATTTTATTCCCTTTATGCCAGGATCACCGCGACGCCCATTCACATGGAACCAATTCTCGCCATTCTGTTCGTGCGGTCGGTCATTTTATTCCCTCCATACGTTTCCCGAACCCCTGGTCCGATCTGGGTGATTTTTGGATATGTTGTTCACCCAGATCAGGGCTATCAGGGGGTGTAGGATTTAAAGGGGTACCCCTACGTTTAGAGGTACATCCAGAAACGGGGGGAATTGGTGTGCTGGATAAGATGATTATGATGCTGGCTGAGGGGAGGGGATGTGTGGGAGGTTACCAGGACAGGATTGGCTACTGTAATAATTACTGTAAGTTCCTCCCTTGCATGGGAGCATGCTTTATAAGGAGACTGCGATTAAAGGCTTGTCAGTTATGCTCCTGAAACTGTGTGTCGTCCAGTTATTGGGATTGCTGTTGGGATATTGCTGTTTTTTACCTGCTGGAAAACCTGCCTTTGGATTTACTATTTACTTGTTCCTGAGTCTCACTTGGATTATAAGCGGAGATAACCTGGGTAATATTGCATCTCCGCTACAATAGTATTTTATCTTTCTGCAGAAACTAATATTATCTGTACTCAGAAAAATGTTTTCAATGTTGAAACCACAGTCTTTACTACTGAATTCAAAGCGATCTCATTGTGGAACATAAGATTGTCCCAAAAGAAGAAATGGTAATGGACGACTCAAAAGGCCGAAGTAGACCTGGTAAGTACTTAACTTCCTTCCTGAAATACGTGTATAAATGAACTGAACAATTAAACAGGAACACCTCGCAAAAACATACATACATTAACCGGAGTGAGAGTTCCTGCAAGATATCTCCAGGTCTAGGTCTCCACAGAAAATCCTGTGATTAGAATACACACCTTTAGTTGTACTAGGAGATCTTCTGGCCTGCTTCTAGTACCATTTACAGTCTACTGTCTGAATCTTGCAGAGTGTGGCAGACTTCATGTCATTCAGTGCTGATTTTGACCAGTCAGAAGAGACTATGAAGAGTCTGGCACATATGTCAAGTAAAAATTTTGGATGTATGTAGTGTAGCAAGTAATATTCCCTCTTTCCTCTGGGACTTTATTATGTTTCAAATTTATTTTCTAACGAGCAACCATCCATCAATCAAAACAGAACAGCAATGCAACTTATATTAATCAACAAAAAGATAACCTACAGACAGAACAGAGATTATATAGGAAAACCAAGATTGAACCCACGAGGGCTGCTAAAAGGTAACATGAGAATTAAGAAAAGTGTTTATTTCTTCAAAAAGCAGGTCAATATGAATGATATTACTGTGTGTTGCTAGTTTAAACACTTTTCAGAAATGAAGCTTATTGAGAACTAAAAGAACCTTCTTTGTTTGTCCTTCTTCTCTGTGATTTTTCCCTTGCAGTTCACTGTTTTTCCTGTTGTCCCTGTACACTTTCCAGCTTTCCTTGCTCACACTTTTTTTTTTGTATCCATCTCTACAGTTTATGGCTTTTCCTTGATACATTCGCTCCCCCAATTCTGCTTGTAGCTCCTCTTCCCTAATAGAATTTAATTAAGGGGTCATTCTCTTTCTGTCAATCCATTTTGTGGTGATTCCTTCCATCTCTTCCCACTTTAACCTAAGTTCCATGTTCTAAACCTTCTGTACTCATTGAGCACCATTTTTGTTTACTGTCTGTTATTGATGACACCTCAAATAATGATCAGCCAGCAGACAGAGTAAGACATTGAACACCACATTTACCCTCTCAAAGTACCCCAACGGCAATCCTCAGGCTTAGCATAGCATTAGATAAGGCATGCACAATTTTTACAATTTTTTTATATTATGAACAAGAGATAAAATTATGTTGCGGACTAGGTGCAAACGTATAAAGGTGAGTTGTTTTGCTAGGAGACATGCTAGGTTAGGTAATATACACAAAGAGCATAAAAAAATAAGTTTACGGGAACGGGAGGTAGCCCTCTTGAGACTGGGGACAAACATTGCTAAACAACATGGTACATATTACGTATATGCATGTTGGCTGGTGTGGCGAAACCGGCCTCGCCACGTGCTGCTTGCTCACCTCTTGCCTTTGGACTATGGACCAGACTTTATGTGAATGTGTTAACCCAGATAGCTATGCCATGGAGCCCATTCGTGTAGTTAAAGACTTCGGCTCCATGGCAATTGAACTGTGTGAATAGGATCTGAGCGCTATTCGGTAGTTTTGTGCGCTCAGATCCCAGCTACCTGGGGATATGTGAAATGTCTGTGTGTTATGTGTAAAAGGTGACTTTATGTATTTTAAAGTGTTTTATGTCTTTTTGCAACCATGTGCTCAATGGAGTCTGCCTCTATCCCTGGATAATTGGATTACTTTCCCCATTGTCTCCAGGATAGAGGGCTCTGTAAAACCTGTTTGAGCCAGATAGCCATGTGCCAGCCAGGGCCCAAAAGATACTTTTACTAACTTTTGAACCCCTGGTCGGATTCATGCCATTTTTTAATATGTTGTTCCCCTGAATGGATTGATTGTGAATATGTAATTTTATGTGAATGTGATGTATGGTTTTAAAGTTATGAAAGTTGGGTAGAAAGTATGTTTTAACTGTATGTGTAATTGAGTTTCCTCTCAGGATAAGGGGAGGGAATATGTGGGATGTAACTGATATGTGATTGGTTGTTTTATACCTCCCTGTGGGCGGTCCTGTATGTGAAAGGCTGTAATAAAAACCAGGCTGGGTGTGCCAGCACGAGAGTTCCTGTTTTAACCCTCAAAGTGAAGTGTCGTCTCATTATTGGGGGAAGGATTTATTGTATGCTGTTCCAGTTTGACTGCTAGGAGAGTAAACCTATTCGTATGGTTCCTATTCAACTGTCTACAGCATTCATATGCTTGGGAGAATTTATTTGTTTCTCCGGTTCGGTGATTGTGGTGTCTGCAAGAGTGCTTGGAGTCCTCAGGAAGCGCTAGGAGCATCCTTCAACGGAGGTACCCAGTCGGGGTGCCAGGCGATCCGTTACAGCTGGCTTAGAGGCTTAAGTTCGGTTTCAATGGGTATCTCTGGGTAGCAGGTCAGGCAAACTGAGTATTGGGGGTAAGCTGTGAACTAGACGGCCTGTAGCCATAGCCTCAGGCGGCTCAACCAATGCCCACTAGTGGCAGCCTGCCAAATCTGAGAAACCTGAGTTCGTCTTGCTGTAGGTGAGAGCACCACCGGTCCCAAGTGCCTGTGTGGTCTTGTACTTCACTGACAACTCCGCCACATAGTTCATTAACTGGGTCATGGCCTCCAGGCTGTCTCAGTGCCCGTGAGTTGTAGAGCCATATGTGAGCTCTCCGACTGAGCGTCATGCCAGCTTGGAGTCAGCTCCCTTGTGTGTGCCATGCAGGGAAGCAGCTCCGAGGTGGGAAGGTGCGTGTTTGGTGACGTTGTGCTGCTCTGCATTTCGGTGCATGGGGAGTCTGCTGTTGGGCCCGTCGGCTAGATGGTCACTTCTCCATGTGAGCACTCGGTTGATAAGCTGCCGTTTCAGCTCCAGTCTCCTGTGTGGTAGGTATAACTAGGTGGGTGGCGTTATGCTCTGCACGCCTCCAGAATCTCTGCAGATGCGGTCAAACTGAGCTTCAAAGCACTGTCTCCACGCCTCTGTCTCTGGGCTTTCTTGTGATTGCAAGGGTTGGTCCTCGGCAGCCATCTTGGGCCCGACATGCGGTCTGCATTCCGGCCGAGTGATTTAAAGATGTAAGCCTGTTGGTTTCCCCAGCGGGGACCGGGATAACCCCCACCGGTTCAGATTGGGGGGGGGATTTGCGGGTCATCAGGAGAGCTGCTGCTTTTAGCGGTCCCCTTGGCAGGAGATTGGATGCCTTTCCTGGCCACTGGGCCACTTTCCATGTTAGGCCTCATATGTGTAGTGTGGAGCGTTCACTCCAGAATTTCACGAGGTGGGTGTCCACAGGTCTCCACTTGGTTCATTACTGTTGTTTTGCTGAGCTAGGCTGCTTTTGTTGGGATTGTGGCATATATTTGCCAATATAATGCTGCATTTATTTTGGAGCTCTCTGCAAGCAGGGCCGTCTTTAACGCGGGGCAAACGGGGCAGCTGCCCCGGGCCCAGTTGCTCCTGGGCCCCGCGATTTGCGCAGCCCCTATGGACCGGGCGGTGCGGCTCCCGCACACTGAGGAGGCTCCCCGGGTGGCCCATGCACTAAGGGCCACCTGGGGAGCATGTGTCAGCAGGGGCCCGGTCGGGCGCTGTGGCACTTAAACAGCGCAACCGGGCCCCTCTTCCGGTTCTGCAGCCGGCTGAGAGGAAGTGACGTCACTTCCTCTCACCGGAGATAGCTGCGCGGGAGGAGGAAGGCAGGGAGGAGGGGTGTTCCAGAGGAGAACTCCCATCTGCCTCAGCCTGCCACTGGACCAGGGAAACCACCCTCCAGAAAAAGGTAAGAACCTGGAGGGTGGCTAAATGTATGTCAGTAGGTCTGTGTGTGTGTGTGTGTGTATGTCTGTGTGTATGCCAGTATGTCTGTGTGTGTGTGTGTCAGTATGTCTGTGTGTATGCCAGTATGTCTGTGTGTGTGTCTGTGTGTGTATATGTCTGTGTGTGTGTGTCAGTGTGTATGCCAGTATGTCTGTGTGTGTGTGTGTGTGTGTATGTCTGTGTGTATGCCAGTATGTCTGTGTATGTGTGTGTGTGTCAGTATGTCTGTGTGTATGCCAGTATGCCTGTGTGTGTATGCCAGTATGTCTGTGTATGTGTGTGTGTGTCAGTATGTCTGTGTGTATGCCAGTATGTCTGTGTGTGTGTATGTAGGTATGTCTGTGTGTGTGTGTGTACGTGTGTGTCAGTATGTCTGCCAGGATATATTTGTGTGTCAGTGTATGTGTGTGTCAGTATGTATCTGTGAATGTTTTAATGTCTGTCTGTGTGTATGTGCCAGTACGCCTGTCTGTGTGTATGTCAGTATGTCTGTGTGTGTGTGTCAGCATGTCTTTGTGTGTCAGTATGTCTGTGTGTGTATGTAAGTATGTCTGTGTGTGTATGTGTGTGTCAGTCAGTATGTCTGTCAGTGTATGTGTCTGTGTGTGTATGTATGTATGTATGTCTGTGTGTGTGTGTCAGTATGTCTGCCAGGATATATGTGTATGTCAGTGTATGTGTGTGTCAGTATATATCTGTGAATGTTTTAATGTCTGTCTGTATCAGCCGTTACGTCAGTCTGTGTATATGTCAGAATGCCTGTGTGTGTGTGTCAGTGTGTATGTCAGTATGCCTGTGTGTGTGTGTCAATGTGTCTGTCAGTGTATGTGTCTGTGTGCTTTAGTATATCTGTCAGTGTATGTGTTTGTGTGTGTGTGTCAGTATATTTGTTAATGTATGTGTCTGTGTATGTATGTATGTCTGTGTGTGTGTCAGTATGTCTGCCAGTATATATATGTGTGTAGTGACTGTGTGTGTCAGTATGTATCTGTGAATGTTTTAATGTCTGTCTGTGTGTGTATGTGCCAGTACGTCTGTCAGTGTGATTGCGGGTTGGACGTAATTGGGGGTGAGGCAGTGGCAGGGACAGGGCCCATAGGGCCCAAGAAAATGCATTGCCCAGGGTCCTAATCATATTATAGACGGCCCTGTCTGCAAGCATGTCTGACATAAGTCTCCTTGTTCGCTAAAATGCCCATAATTGCTTTTGTTTCTGCATTGTATTATATAAGTGGGAGAGTTAAAGAGCACTAGAGTTAAGTCATCATTGCATATGTTTAAATATGTATTATAATACAATTAATATGGCTATGGCAAGCCCACCACCCCTTGGTCTGCAGGTTCTGTTCCTGGCATTTGGTAATCAGGAGGCGTGCGTGTCCCATTCTTTCCCATATCTCACCTTCCTTTTATGAGTGAAATGCCACATTGACATCATCATTTGCAAGAGGGAGCGCCCGTATTATCATGCGCAGCTGCCACATCAGAGCTCAAAACATCCTCTCACATTTGCATGTTCAGAATTGCTTCTAGTCTCTATTTTATTTTTAACATTTTTTTAATATTGTTTTTTATTGGAAGTTATTTTCATGTTTAAAGGGATACAGAAAAAAAAAGGGTAAGGGAACAATATCATTGAATCAAGCACAGGCATTACAGCGTTTTACATCCTTGTAAAGCATATTGATTTACACCTACAATCGCCTTAAAGGAACAATCTAGGCACCCAGACCACTTCAGCTTAATGAAGTGGTCTGGGTGCCTGGTCCAGCTAGGGTTAACCCATTTTTTCATAAACATAGCAGTTTCAGAGAAACTGCTATGTTTATGAATGGGTTATCAAATCAGTGGCTGTCTCATTGACAGCCGCTGGAGGCGCTTAGGTGCTTCTCACTGTGATTTTCACAGTGAGAGAGCATCGCCAGCGCCCATAGAAAGCATTGTGAATGCTTTCCTATAAGCGACAGTTGAATGCGCCGCCAGCAGCTCTTGCCGCCGCCGCGTAAGCATTCAGCCGAATTGGCGGAGAGGAGGAGGATCGGAGGAGGAGAGCTCCCGGCCCAGCGTTGGAAAAAGGTACGTTTTTACCCCTTTCCCCTTTCCAGAGCCGGGCAGGCGGGGGTCCCTGAGGGTGGGGCACCCTCAGGGCACTATAGTGCCAGGAAAACAAGTATGTTTTCCTGGCACTATAGTGGTCCTTTAAGGAGCCAGCCAGGACACAATAATTGAGGCTTAGTTCTAGAACCAAGTAACTACTCTTGTTGCCACCAGTTCACTTTTCTGTGTTTGTTGGGGTCAAGGAGCGTCTGTCTAGGCTAGTCTGGTTAGGACTGTGTCCCTCTTTCAAAAGTAACTTGTTTACGGCTGTGTAAGTGCTCTTGTGTCAGTGTCAATATGGTTTGCACAATCATAAATGTTGAAGGGGGGATTTAATTTAGTTCTTTAAATTCTTTTCCACTGTCCATTAGATTAGGCATTTAAATACTAAGAAGGGAATTTAATTTGGGGTGGAGGAGCAATGAGTAGAATCTCTCCTGCAAACACCTCTTACCCTTCTGTCTTTTTCTACAGTCCAAGTGCAGCCTTGACAAAAAAAATGATATGTCCAATACTGATATTTGTTTTAAACAAAATTGCAAAAAAAATAAATTTCAATTAGCCAAACTAGATTGCATTATAAACTATTTGATATTTAAAACTAATGTCACTAAGCAAGGTGTCAGTCTGAAGATTGACTTTAACCTTTAAACCAAAATTATACCAACATTATATTACATCAAATTAGATTTTTACATTACATGTTTTTCTTTAATAGATTGTGACATCATGTCTGAACATGATCAACAATTATCATCAAGTCTGAAGTTGGACAATATACCTCAGAAAGAGCGTAAAAACCAAAATGTAAGACTTTCTGTGATTGTGGAATCTACTCCTGATCTCAGAGTGGCAGACACAAATGTTTGCCACCAACATGAAAGCTCAAGGAGTCATTATGCATTGGATAACAAGGTAAACATACACCAATGCCCTATTTCCAAGACCAAACTCGACAATGTCTACAAGAGCAGTGAAAGTAGTGAGAGTTCTTTGGACGAATCAGACTGTAAAAGAAATGTACCTTACAAAAGGTGTGTGTGCAATGATTGTGGAAGACGCTTTAATTATATTTCACATCTAATTACACACCAAAGATCTCACACTGGAGAGAGGCCCTTTTCATGTCCTGAATGTGGAAAAAACTTTGGCAGAAAGTCCTGTCTTGTAATACATGAGAGAATCCACACAGGGGAGAAACCTTACAAGTGTACGCACTGCATGAAGGGGTTCACAAGCCGAGCCACTCTCTCTACTCACATAAGAATCCATACAGGAGAGAGACCTTATGTATGCTGGGAATGCGGTAAAAGCTTCACCAGTAACTCTTCTCTGTTTATTCATAACAGAACTCACACGGGAGAGAAACCCTATGAATGTAGCCAGTGTGGGAAGACCTTTTCTTGCACATCCGCTCTTGTCACTCATCACAGAACACACACGGGAGAAAAGCCATATGTTTGTGGCGAATGCGGAAAGTGTTTTGTCGATAACTCAAGACTTCATAAACACCAAGCGACTCACACAGGAGAGTGGGCATACATGTGTGTTTTGTGTGGGAAAGGGTTCACTTGTATCTCGAAACTCAAGGTGCACCAGAGATCACACACAGGGGAGAGACCGTATTCTTGCAATGAATGCGGGAAGAGCTTTACTCATAATTCATATCTGGTTAGACATCAAGCTATACACACAGGAGAACGTCCATTTGCTTGCTCTGAATGTGGCAAAGGTTTTACCCGTAAGGAACACCTTGTTACACATCAGAAAATTCATACCCGGACAAAGCAAACTATAATTTCAATGTGAAAATAACACTTGACTGTCAAGCACACGGATCTGCATGTTGAAATAATGTGGAACCATATTTAAGAATGTTACGTATTGTATATATTGTAACATTATAAGAAAAAAATGGCAAAGTAGACTGAATAAAGATATACTTTACAATATATTTAACAGATTTACCCTGACATTCCGTTTCTTTTGCTGAGACCACTTATTTTCTGATTCTTTAAATTTAGATGCTTTACCCTAGATAGCTATATGAATTCGGCAACCTTAATAATGATTTAAGCATTTTAGCTGCATCTATTGCTGACAGATGAACCACACAGTCATGCATTTTCTCTAGTGGCAATAGTGTCTACTGTACTTCAGAGGCGACAATCATTGTGGTGTTGTCATATGATATCCTATATGTCATCCTATAAGCAGATAACTTATTGCCAAAAAAAGTAACAGACCTTATTAAAAAGAGAGGTTTCCTATATGAAATCAATTTCTACCATCATCCAGGTGCTGGACTAATGAAATAAAACACAATATTCCTATAAGTGTGAAAAATTTTCTTTATTCCAGATAATGCTGACTCCCACAAATGCAGCTGAATCCACAAGACTGTGCCAAAAACACCTTGTATATCACAGGCTATAGTCCATAATTTATCTTTTGCTGTGTGATTCCAGCGTTCAAGCTTTTACCAGTGTGAAACGCTTTACCAAGATGGATACGGTGGTAGATTTATTGTTCAGTAGCCAATATGGGTGTCGGACCAGGTTTGAGTACCAAATATTGTGACCTCTAGCATGTAAGCTCATTGAGCAGGGCCCTCAACCCCTCTGTTCCTGTGCGGTTCCATTTGTCCGGTTACAATTACGTGTCTGTTAGTCCGCCCAATGTACAGCGCTACAGAATTTTAGGCACTATATAAATAATAAAAAAAATAATAATAATAATAACCATGTAGATTCAAAAATAAATGGTATTGCCATCCATTTATTCACCTAAATTGGTGAAAACAAAATGTATTAAAGCCAGTTGCTTGAATGTGATAATCAGCTCTTCGCCCAAATTTAATCTGTTACTAATAACATTACATACATTGATGTCTTTTCTCTCTGTTAATTAAATATATATATCTTTTAAATGCCACCCTTATTTCTTTGTTCCTCAGACTATAAATAATAGGATTAAATAACGGAGTCCCCACAGTATAAATCAAGGAGAGAACTTTGTTTGCATTTAATGAATGTCCACTAGAAGGAATCACATAGAGCGTGACCAGTGTCCCATAGAAAGTAATTACAACAGCCAAGTGGGAGCTGCAGGTGGAGAATGTTTTTTGTCTCCCGGACGTTGATGGTATTTTGAGAATAGCCATAAAAATGCAGACATACGTTATAGTGATGATTATCGCCGGAAACAACGTTATTGGAGTTCCCAGTAAAATGTTCTCTAACCTCACTATGAAGGTGTCTGAGCAAGAAAGTTGCAGAAATGGAAGTAAATCACAGAAAAAATGATCAATAATGTTTGATCCACAGAAATTTAACTGACTCACTAGTATCACAGTTATAAAGGAAATTATAAAACCCAACAGCCAACAAGAAACTGCAAGCTGAGGACGAAGTTTGTTGCTCATAATCGTGGTATAATGCAATGGACTGCAGATAGCCAGATAACGGTCGTAGGACATCACTGTAAGAAGAAGACATTCTGTACCCAAGGAAAGTCCAAAGAATTGAAGCTGGACTATACAGGCTCGTAGAGACATTCTTTTCCCACCATTTAGTATGATGCATAGCATGTTGGGGACAATATTTGTGGTCAGTATGATATCGGTTAGCGAGAGATGACCAAGGAAGAAAAACATTGGATGTCTCAAGTTTGGACTCACTGTCACCAGTGTTACAATCATGAGATTTCCAGTCAACGTCATGGTGTATAGCACAAGGAACAGAAGGAAGTAAGGGATCTTAAAGTTGTAAAGTACTTTGAATCCCAGTAGAAATATTTCTTTAACCGAGGTCTGGTTTTCTTCAGTCATAATTTGTTGCTGTGGGCTTGTCAAATTATCTTTCTTATTTAATGTGATTTCCGGTACAGTATTGTTAATTACAATTGATTTTACACATCAACAAGTAAATCCTAGGAAGAAAATAAATTATAGGGTCACTTTAAGTGTCGGAAAAACTTTGTATCATAGCATAGTTCATGGTGCATAGATTGAGTTGCCTAATTCCAATCCCTGTGTTCAGATTGATTTATATAGCTCCAGTTTGTAAACTGGACCTCTCCCTGGATCAGTGATGTTAAAGGAATATTTTTTTTCTTCTTACAACAGAAAGATGGTTTTACTAAACAATCAGAAATATATTTGTTATCAAGTATTAAATACACCTTCAATGAGTGTCAGGGTTGGTTTGTTTGGAGTACACATCTTAAAAATCTAAGTGTAGTATATTGGATGGAATTTGATGAATGACATTTCTTTTACAGGATTATTCCCTTGCACCCTTGCTATAGTTCGAAATTGAAAGAGTAAAGGAATGTGCTGGTTCATTACTACTTGAATGGGTGAGATGGTAAGCGTGGATCAAGAGGTAGCAGACGTTTTGGAAAATCTGATGACTTCTGGTTAGAAAATTAATCTCACAAAATATGTGGTAGAATAAAGTCTTATAAACATTCCCAAAATGTATTTACGTTGCACACAAACCTGATATAAAATAGATCTGTGTGGCTGTCTATAGTTTTTTTGTTACAATATAATGTTCAAAGGTTTGCAGGAAAAACAGCAAGATGTGTGCTACACCTTAAAAAGCAGTAAAGAGGTTAGGTATACAATGGAATGCAATCTTTAACACACTGCAAGATTTATTTGCTCATATTTTAACCATACGCCTAAACGGAATGTATAAAGATCTCTAAGTGGGCTTTGCACATGAGAAAAAAGGGACACATTGCTACCGTTTTATTCGTATATTTGAGACGTCTCTTACAGTGCAGATAATGCTAGGTACAAAATGGTGAAGTAAAGTCAACAAAAGTAACACACTTTTGCACTGAATTTTAATCGGCCACAAAATTATAATTAGATAAATTTACTATTTTGCCAAACCTTGTACAAATTGTGCATTCCTCTAGGGATTTTTTTTATATATAAACCACAGAATTTAATTGCATCACAATTTCACTACTTTTCTCATAGATATACGTTTATACACATTCCCTAATGTGGTTCTTTTTGGTCACATTTTGACCAAAACATATTGCTCTTTTTAAATCACTCCATCTTGCCATTGTACTACAATACTCATGTGATACCCTGCCATCTGACCTCTGTCTGCCCAACTGTAATATTACAAAATACATTTATTTCTACTGCTTCAACGGGTTCACGTGATGTGAAATAATCTGGATTTGGGAATTAATTAATGAATACACCATATGTAAAACATACTTTTTTTTTTATTTTTAACCAAGCTCATAATAAAAGTAATATGAATATCATCACCACAGTGAAAACTGTACAAAAACATGAAAACATTGGTTATTACGTTGGCTAGAAGCTGCTCAGTGACTTGTCTTACTTGCCAACTTTGGCAAGTATGATGTCAGGAGAAGAGGGGGAGTTAGGGTGGTGTGGATAACATTTTGTATCAGTGGTGATGTGTTTGATTTCAATGGGGCAGTATTATCATGGCATCCATTATTTCCCCTGACCTAGGCAGCCAAACACGGCTAGTGATATGGTGACTCTTGCATATGAGTTTAAATACATGTATTATTGTCTATTACAGCTTGAGTGTATTTAATTGTGCTGATTATGTTCTGTATGACACGATAAGATCATGGCTGTACAGATGTATTTGGGAATGTTGGCAAGTATGTCAGACATGCATGTAAAAATATTTATTCTTATAATGTTTTGTATAGAAAAAATTCTTACAATTCAATAAATGTGTAACTTGGGATTCACAAATGTCTCAACTACTGATTACACAATGAATTGTTTTTGTCACTTTAAACATAAAACACTCTTTAATGATCGTCCTTTCAAGGCAATATTGTTATGGTTTGATAAATAATATTCCATCTTTTTGTTTTATTTTAAAAAAAAACTGATTGAAATAAGTTTATATTTTTTTCATAAAAAAACAGCAAAAATCACTGTAAACAAATGCTTACATCTGAAACAGTGAAAAAAATCAAGGTGTTTAATTAGTAGTAACTGTGCGTAAAGAGAAATAGAAAAAGCACTTTCTATGCACTGTGCATTGGAGTGATAAAATGTAAATATGTATCAAAATAAAAATTGTCAAATTGAAAATATATATATATATCAAGACAGCATTATTTATCTCCAATGTTTTGCTTCTGTCTATATTGTCTGTTTGTGTGTCTACACTTTGCACTTGAACATCACAACGCTCAAAAAATATTTAATCTTCTTACCGTGCATGTAGAGGTTCATTGTATGTGTTATAAATTTGTTGCGGAATATGCAGATCCCAGATGTTTGTAGATAACTGAAAAGTTTTATGCGAAAATGCTTCTTTTGGATAATATTAGTGAAAAAGTTTGCTGTATTCTGCTAAACATGCTTGATCGATGTTCCAATGCCCCCAGCATCCCTTACCCAAATACCGTTTATATGTTTAAACCGAGCCATGTAGTGAGTATTATGATATGTGGGGAATAGGCAAGAAATGCTCTTGGGTGAAAGGCCAATTAGTGCAGGGACACAGGTGAAATAAGCTTTAAAATATATATATAGAAAACAAATCATATGTTCAATACTGATGTTTATGTTTTTAAAAAGTTGCAAAAAATTGAGCCAAAGTAGATTGCATTTTAAACTGACTGATACTTAAAACTATTGTCAGTCAGCAAGGTGTCAGTATGAAGATGGACTGTAAGCTTTAAACCAAAATTATATTAATATTATATAACATCAAACTTGATTTTTACATCATATGTTTTCTTTAATACAAGGTTTCCCCAAAGTGTGGGTCGCCGGGTGATTCCCAGTGGGTCCCGCTGACCCACACCCAGTGGCGTACTCAATCCATGGGCCCCAGTGCAAAACTGATCCATGGGGCATAATATACACACAGTGCATCCACTGCACATGCACTACAATCAAACGCAAACATTACATACAAACACACCCCTGTATTAAAACATTAAAATTATATACAAACACCCCTTCATTTAAACACCAACACTACAAACAAAAGCACACCTGTATTTAAAGTCAAACACTACATACAAAGACACCCCTGCATTCAAACGCAAACACTACACACAAGCAGTGGCGTACTAAGGGGGTGGGGAGGAGGGGGAGGTCTGCCCCGGGTGCCAGCAGGGTAGGGGGTGCCATGACCCTGGTCTGGGGGCTGGAGGGGGCTGTGTGAGCTGTACGGTCTGACAGTGCCCCATGATAGTTAGGGTGCCGGGCGGCAAGAACAGCTCACACGCACAAGGAGCACCTGAACTGGCCGCACGGAATGAGAGTGGGGACGGAGCTAAGCAAAATCAGGGGTGGAGCCAAACTGGCAGCAGGGGCAGGGCTTAATACAGCCCTTACCTGCTGCTGTTACTGCTGCACATGGAGGTGCAGCAAGATGGAATCCCTGCTTCTCCACAGGCTTCAGGATAGGATTTCAGGGAATCCAGTCCTCCTCCAGCCCACTGTCTGTAAGTAAGAGTGTTAGTCTGTGTGTGTGTGTGTGTGTGTAAAACTGTCTGCCTGTAACTGTGTGTGTAACTGTCTGCCAGTAACTGTGTGTGTGTGTGTGTGTGAGACTGTCTGCCTGTAACTGTGTGTGTAACTGTGTGCCTGTAACTGTGTGTGTGTGTGAGACTGTCTGCCTGTAACTGTGTGTGTAACTGTCTGCCTGTAACTGTGTGTGTGTGTGTGTCTGCCTGTATGTGTGTGTGTAACTCTATGCCTGTGACTGTGTGTGTGAGTGACTGTATATGTGACTGTCTGTCTGTAACAGTGTGTGTAACTGTCTGCCTGTAACTGTGTGTGTGACTGTCTTCCTGTAACTGTGTGTGTAACTGTCTGACTGTAACTTTGTGTGTATGTGTATGTGTGTGTGAGACTGTCTGCCTGTAACCGTGCGTGTGTTACTGTCTGCCTGTAACTGTGTGTGTGTGTGTGTGTCTGTCTGCCTGTATGTGTGTGTGTGACTCTATGCCTGTGACTGTGTGTGTGAGTGACTGTCTGTCTGTAATGGTGTGCGTGACTGTCTGGCTATGACTGTGTGTGACTACCTGTAACTGACTGTGTGTGTAACTGTCTGCCTGTGACTGTTTGTGGCCTGTAACATCAGACTATCTGTCTGTGACTGTGTGCATGTGACTGTCTGCTGCTGCCGTGTGTGTATGTGACTGTCTGCCTGTAACAGTGTGCATGACTGTCTGTGACTGTATGTGTGACTGTCTGCATGTGACTGTGTGCGTGTGACTGTCTGCCTGTAACTGTGTGTGACTGTCTGCCTGTAACTGTGTGTGACTGTATGCCTGTAACTGTGTGTGTGACTGTCTTCCTGTAAATGTGTGTGTGGGGCTGCAGGGATCTTGTAGAAGGGGGCAGGGGTTTTGTATTGGGACAGGAGTCTTTATAAGGGGGGATAAGCAGGGGATTTGTGGAAAGGGATTGCAGGGGTTTTGTAGATGGGGCAGTACAGGATTTGTAGAAGGGGGCAGTACAGGGGTTTTGTAGGAGGGGGCGGGGCAGGACAAGGGTTTTGTAGGAGGGGCTGACAGCAGTTTTGCAAAGTTTAAAAATTGTAAAAAAAAAGAAAACATTTAAAAAAATGTACAGGTTTTTTTTTTTGTGGGGGTGAGGGGGGCAAAGCGGTGCCAACCACAGGATCCGCCCCAGGTGCCAAATGCTCTAGGTACGCCCCTGCACACAAGTACACCACTACATTCCAATGGCAACAGTACATACAAATACACCCATACATGCACACATATTCTTCATACAAAAACATGCTTATGCTCAAACACTGCTCACAAATACAACCCTGCAACGATGGGCAAATGGAAGATCCTCAGCTGGCATAGCATTGTTGAAGTTCTCCGACAGATGGGGATCCACCTTTTGTGTGTAGTGTTTGCGTTTGAATGCAGGGGTGTCTTTGTATGTAGTGTTTGACTTTAAATACAGGTGTGCTTTTGTTTGTAGTGTTGGTGTTTAAATGAAGGGGTGTTTGTATATAATTTTAATGTTTTAATACAGGGGTGTGTTTGTATGTAATGTTTGCATTTGATTGCAGTACGTTTGACCACACTTGCACTAGAGGGGTTCCCAGAAAACATACTTGCATCAGGGCTCTCTCTCTTCGAAGGGACGGACCAAGTCCCGAGTGCGCAGCCCAAGGAACCCTATTGATAGCTGTGATATATGGAAACCAGAGACTCACCTTGACAGCCCTACATCTGCAATCACCCAGATACACATTTGGACATCCATCTGGACAAACCTGGTCAAAACACCATACCACGTTCCAGAGATTGAACAACATTCAGGACTTCCTATAACATCAGTGGTGGTGAGATCTGTCCAAGAGCATCCACACATGGATGCATGTTTTTGTATTTTTAGTGTATAGTTTAGTTTAATTTTTTTCACCACTTTTTCCTTTTTGCATTTTTTTTCAATTCTCTAAAATATTATTTTCTTAAATAATTTTTCCTTTTTGTGTATTTGTTGCAGACAGTGTTTCACTTACACAGTGGCCTTCTACATTGCAATATAACATTGGGGATATTTTATTCAATTATGTTTTGTATATCACCCACGGTCTTGAATTGCTGTGTCCATATAGGATATAGTTTTGTGTGATAATCTACTTTTTTGCAATATTTGTATATTTTCACAAAGATTGTGATAAATCTGACTAATTTCAATAGGCAGAGTAATAATTATATATTTACTTTATATCAGTTTTTGAGTGTGGTATCATACGCATTTATTGTATATGTCCATGGTATTTAATGTGGGCTAACTTGATACCTAGCACCACTATGGATAAGAGAGCGCCTGTACATATTGAATTTCCCTCTCTACATTAGTTCCACTTCTGGGATACACAACGTGAGGTTGTTTATGCATCTAAAAGTGATTGCCATAGTGTGACAATTTTATGCATCTAAAGCTGATTTCCATGGTGTGCCAAACTTATGCATCTAAAGCCGATTGCCGTGGTGTGCCAAATTTATGCATCTAAAGCTTCCATGATATTCCACTTGTATGCCTCAATAACTGATTGCCATGGTGTGCCAATTTTATGCCTCTAGAGCTGATTGTCATGGTGTGCCAATTTTATACACCTAAAGTTGCTATGATGCACCAAGTTTATGCATCTAAAACTGATTGCCATGGTGTGCCAACTGTATGCCTCTAAAGCTGATTGCCAAGGTGTGCCAATTTTATGCATCTAAAGCTGCCATGATGTTCCTATTGTATGCGTCTAAAGCTGATTGCCATGGTGTGCTAATTGTATGCCTCTAAAACTGATTGCCATGGTGTGACAATTTTACGCTTCTAAATCTGATTGCCATGGTGTGCCAATTTTACACATCTAAAGTTGCCATGATATGCCAAGTTTATGCATCTAAAACTGATTGCCATGATGTGCCACGTTTATGCATCTATAGCTGCCATTATGTTCCAGTTATATGCCTCAATAACTGATTGCCATAGTGTGCCAATGTTATGCCTCTAAAGCCGATTGCCATGGTATGCCAATTTTATACATCTAAAGTTGCCATGATGTGCCAAGTTTACGTATCTAAAACTGATTGCCATGGTGTGCCAAGTTTATGCATGTAAAGCTGGTTGCCATGGTGTGTCAATTTTATGTAGCTAAAGCTGATTGCCATTGTGTGCCAGTTGTATGCCTCTAAAAATGATTGCCATGGTGTGCCAATTGTATGCATCTGAAGCTGATTGCCATGCTGTGCCAATTTCACTCTTATAAAATTGATTGCCATAGTGTGCCAATTGTATGCCTTTAACATTATTGCCATTGTGTGCCAACTGTATGCCTCTAAAGCTGATTGGCATGGTGTTCATTTTTAAAATATGCATTAAAAGCAAGTGGGTCTTGGCCCATAAAAGTTAGGGAAACCCTGCTTTAATAGATTGTGACATCATGTCTGAACAAGATCAACAATTATCATCAAGTTGAAAGTTAGAAAATATACCTCAGAAAGACCTATAAAAACAGAATAATTCAAGACTTTCTGTAATTGTGGAATCTACTCCTGATCTTAGTGTGGCAGACACAAATGTTTGCCACCAAAATGAAAAATCAAGTACTCATTATGCATTGCATTGGATAACATACACCAATATCCTATTTCTGAGACCAAACTCGACAATGTCTACAAGAGCAGTGAAAATAGTGAGAGTTATTTGGACAAATCAGACAAATCAGACTGTAAAAGAAATGTACCTTACAGCACACAAAAAAGGTGTGTGTGCAACGATTGTGGGAGAAGCTTTAATTATATTTCTTGATGATTTAAGCATTTTAGCTGCATCCATTGCTGACAGATGAACCACACAGTCATGCATTTTCTCTAGTGGCAATAGTGTGTCCAGTACTTCAGAGGCAACAATCATTGTGGTGTTGTCATATGATATCATATATGTCATCCTATAAGCAGATAACATATTGCCAAAAAAAGTAACAGACCTTATTAAAAAGAGAAGTTACCTATTTGAAATCAATTTCTACCATTATCCAGGTGCTGGACTAATGAAATAAAACACAATGGAGTGTTGCTTGCATGCTAATGGAGTAGGACGCAGATTCCAAAAGCACTGCTCCTCCCCCATGACCATTGGCCCCTCCGGCACTGCCTCACCTAAGAGAGCTGCAGGACCAATGGATGAGTTGCTAGCGAAACCCGACAACCTCCCCACCACGAGGCCTACGGACAAAATGGCGCCGAGCTCCCCGGTGGGGAAAGCCTAGCTGAATATTAGGTGAAGACACAGTGGGACGAAACACTCGTCCAGATTTCAGCAGAATTGTCCTCAATTTCAGCCAATATGCTGATGTGAAGTGACTCGACGGACCTGGTAACGGAACGCTGCACGGTAATCAGAGAGGAGATCTGCGCCAGAAGGCACCCCGAAAGTGAGGACGAATTACTACCCTACGTCTTGACCCACCTATTCACACACATTCTGGGCGACGATGCTCCTGCACAATTTAACATTGAAAGAGCACAGAGGGCACTCAGATCACCCAGGCCGGATGGCTTACCCAGAGATGTTGCCTACTATCCATCCAAGTAAAAGAAGCCATAATTCAATTGGCCAGACCAAAAGCCACCCTGCCGTACATGGACAATCAGGTGTCTCTGTTCCAAGACTTGTCAGTCCTAACGCTGGATTCCCGCAGTGCACTGAGGCTGCTCACACAAATGCTCCAGGGGAGGAGAATTCAATTCAAGTGGGGATTCCCCTTCAGCCTGCAGGCCAAAAGAGACAACCGATGGCACTCCATACTGTGGCCGAATAACGTCCCTGGCTTCCTCCGAGTGATGAACCTACCAGCGGTTCGGATCCCCAATTGGATTCTGGATAGACCCCCCCAGTCGGACAACTCGCCAAACGCTCGAACGGAGAGACCGACTTACAGGCCTGCAGAGATGTGGGCCTAGCGGGCCTGAAGAATAAGCGCAGCGGGTCCTCCCCCCGCACGGGAACTGCCCTCCTACGTTCCCTCTGACTAGCCGGACACGGGTATGTACCACAATGGGGACCTTGTGTCTTCAACCAATACCGCACCGGGATCCCCCTCTTTTTCACCCCCCTTTTCTTCCCTGGCCCATTTTGGAGCAGAATGGGTGGAGACACTGACCACTTGGGTGGGAACCAGGGCAGTGCAGAGAATGCACAGGATCGGACACACATCACCAGGGCTTGGTGCGGGGGTGATCGGGTTAGGGACCGGGGCTTATTTGCACACAATTTATGTGCAGGGCTGTAGAATCCGACCCCATGGGTAGATACCTCTTCGGAAAGGGAACTATAGCAGACCACACCTATACCTTTGCCTCAATATACAGCCCTAATACGAAGCAACACACCTTCCTGACTAAAACAATATCCCTTTTGGAAAAATTCAGAGAAGGTCTATTATTCCTGGCCGGAGATCTTAATATGCCCCTGGATTCCAGGCAGGACACCTCTAAAGGTTATTGCACCATACCTCCCCCACTCCCTTAGAAGGGCAAAGATGGCCTTGCGCAGAGTGGGGCTCGTGGACTGCTGGAGGGTGGCACACCCTGATACCAGGGACTACTCCTACTATTCCGCCTTCACAACGAATATTGCAGGATTGACTACCTCTTTATAGCACAAGAGTATCTAGCGTGGCTGATTTCCTCTGATATTGGCTCATTCGGAGACTCAGACCATGCACCAATCACAACGTACGTAAAATCCTCTCTGTTTAAGCCTAGAGAATTCCAATGGAAACTGAGCGAAAGATAACCGACCTAGTAGACGTAGACCAAACATCGACAACACATTCAGCGTGCAGAACGTCCATAGGAAAGCATTGCTCTTGCCGCGCATTCCGCTCCACTCGGGAGCCAACGTCGAAGTGAAAGGAGGGGTTACCAGTGCCGAGGGAGCCTGGCGCTGGATTAAAGTAAGTAACTGAAGGGGATTTAACCCCTTCAGCATCAAGGGAAGGGGGGCCCTGAGGGTGGGGGGGACCTAAGGGTTGTATAGTGTCAGGAAAACGAGTTTGTTTTCCTGACACTATAGTGATCCTTTAAACCAAGAACACAATGGAGAGCAGGCGTCAGGATGCAGGGAAGAGCAAGCTTTAGGATACATTGGGCAGCAGACCTCATACAAAGGACAGCAGGCCTCAGGAAAGAATGTAAAGCAACTCTCGGGATGCAAAGGAGAGCAAGTCTCAGTATACAGTGGAGACAGGCCTTGGAATGTAGGGAAGAGTAGGACTCAGGAAATAGGGGTGATCAGGTCTCATGATACAGGCAGTGTAGATTCACACTGCAGATGCGTGCTCACCTAAACAAGCAGTTGCTGCTGGGACTTCAGTGGATTCAATGGAGTCTAGGCACAGACAAGCAGCTAAGCAACGCTCTACAAAAGACAAGGATGTTGAAGCATATGATCCTTTCCTGCTGTATACTTTCTTTGGTAGGAAACTGACCTATACTAAGTGAGTTGGTTCTACAGCACCCTGCTGATTCCAGTGTACTTTTCTACTCACTCTAAAGCTGGCTGCAGTGGGAACAGGAGAGCAAAGTCATTAGAAGGCACATCAGTAATGCAATTTGAGTCACTGATATAAGCCTGAACTAGCAGTGCCCCCCTTTTCGACGGCTTCTATCCCAGTGGCATACTTGCCAAAGCTGTTAGCCACTTAAAAATCAAAGAGAACAGTGTTAAATCTTTTTCTTCATTGTTGTCGTGCAGTAAAGTTAAGACATTGAATTTAAAGAAAATTTCTCTATCTGCAACTTCCTGTGCGTGCGCTTTTAGCTTTACTTGTTTATTTTACCTCTAGTGCATAATTATTGTACTATTATTATTACTTCTTATGATCCTCTTTTGGAAAACGTAAATCCTGAACAATTATTGATACATTTTACATAATGGATTATTTTTAATGTGTTTGCATTTATTTTACTTTCAATCTATTTTACAATTTATTTTCACTATATTCATTATGTCATTCTATAACGCGAACTCTATAAATAATTTC